GATGCCATGTTACAGCCTTCTTCAGAAACAAGTTCGAAGTGTACTTCGAAGTCCTCTTCGAACTTGTTTCTGAAGAAGGTTGCAACATGGCATCCGAAACCTCAACTACTATTAGTTCTACTTTTAGTTTAATTAACACCGGCCATGAAAGCCTTCGTACTTATATTGAAGCTTATGTAATCAAAGCTTCCTGATATAATCTAGTCAGCTTTTCAAATATAAATTACATACTTTATACAATAATAGTGTTAAATCTAAAAGTTCGAAATGAAGACGAACTTTCGAACATGTGCAATTTTGTTAGCTGTCATTACTGTTATGTAAAGAGCCTAGCATTTTCGCATTTTGATCAGGGAAAAGATACATCCAATGCCATACATCCATACATCTGCTATACATCCAGACTCACTCGGACACATTCAGACAAACAGATATTCACTCAGATATACTAAAACCGTAATGTTTTAAGCTGTTTCATTAAATTTTTCTGAAGAAATCGAGTCATTGAAAACGACGAAAATGAACTTAGATTAATTGTCAACCAATATTGATCAGTCAAAAGATAATACACACCACCATTTATCGGATTTTAGATAATGAATTGTGAATTAACAATCTACACAAAATTCTAAAAATTTTCTCATAATGATAACCACTTTGCAGTTATTTATAGCGAGTTTTAAATAATCCTAATTTTTTTTAATTATATAAAACAGACTGCAGCCATAACGAAGAACACAACCTTGATTAAGCAGTTTAGTTAAACATCACGAGGTTTAGTAATTCATGATTAAGAGTTCGTTTTTGTTTGCGAAACGTCTTTTTGTCACAACTGAGCTACCTAAGATCATTGCTACTATTAAAGACATGGAAGTTCCAAGTAATTCGGATTGCCAGAGACTGAACTTTTAGTTCTGTTGCTATAAGTTTTCTTTCAGTTTTAGAACAGATAAAGAAACTTCTTTGTTCCTTTCATATGAAAATATAAGTAAGGTTATAGACATCCAGTTTCTTCTAGTCTTTTCACATTTCCTTGGCTTTGAGAAATTTGAAGTACATTGTTGCAATAATAAGACTTGGGTTAATAGAGGATCTCTTATCATTAGAGTTCATTCAGTCGCACCGCTGTTCTCCTTTGTACTGGTAAACGCAAAACCACATTCACTTCTGGGGGGAAGAACGCAAGATTAAAGGATGTTCAAAAAACTTGTAGGACTTCGTGTGATAGTCTCTTTTATGCTATATTGATAATAATAATAATAAGTTTATTGCCACATAGTTAATACAAGAGAAAAATAATATATATGTATACATAAATGAATAAGTAATGCATGTTGACAAAAGGTCAGTTTATCGCCAAAGGCGATGTCTTCCAAAAGACCCAACCAGCAACGTATGTAAAAAAAAAACAATATGGCTATATAAATAATTCAACATTTAAGCAAAAAGAAGAAAAAGAGCAAAGAGGAAAAACAACACAACGAGTACAGTTGATAGAGAAGAAGAGAAAGAAAAAGAGGAGAGAAGCAGGCGATATCAATAGTTAGATTCCGATAATTGTAATGATAATAGATAATCCCTTAAGCAGACCTTAAACGTCAGAAAACTACGAGTGTTGCGTATTTCCATGGGTAAACTATTCCAAAGCTTTATAGCCTGCACCGTGAAAGATCCATGATATCTCTCTATATTGAGAGATAGATTGCAATTACTTTTGCCGAATTTGCTTATTGGATCTCTCTCATTCTTAAAATCTTGCATCATTTGTTGTTTTTGATCCTCTCTGCTTCTTTTTTCATTTCCATGGATTTGACATTCTTCAACATGTAAGTAAACTTTCTCTTCGGTAAAGTCTATACCGAAGGTTTAAAGTCTAAACATGGGACATAATCAGTTGCCATCTGTTTCTGCATTCTATTGAAGTTTAAGTAATCTAGCTGGGTTACCAAAACTTTCAATATACTGAGTAACGTACAGCCATTTACAGTTTGCAGTTTTCTGATTTCAGTTTTTTTTTTTTTCTTCGCGACGATTTTTTTAGTTTATTATTTTCGTTCTATACATATATCAAACAAAATATTTTAATGAATAATACATTACAAAGATAAGTTAGAGCATAGAGAACCACATTTTTGATTGCACGTTTTGAATTTTATTTTCCGCACGCTTTTTGCAAATTATTCTTGTTGCATCTTCTACTGGAAGATGTAAATATATATTTTAGAATCGCTGTCTTGTTCAAGATGAGACCTGTCTTTCTTCGATAAACGTCGAAGAATTTGTTTTCACTGGTCGATCATCTAGTCCATCAAATCAACCCCTTATATAATAATTTCTCCCCTTCTATATAATTATGCGACCTTTTCTGGAGAAGAAACACTAATTTTAGAGACATCTTTCAACATTTTATTGACAGACATTAACTTTTGCACTGGAACCCATCCTAACAGCATTTCTGGAACGTTCTTAGTAACTTTATTGGGAATATTCTCCCTATTTGCATCCCGCATGTATTATAAATAATCAGTAAATAATTGATAGAGGAACTTATTTTTATGTAGCTATATATTAGTTTGCGAATAGGAGAATGTATCACAAACAACTTTATTGTTTAACCTATTGCAGATTCAACGCACTATAGTTTATTCTACCCAGAGAAAGGTAGAAACTAGTATTTTCGTTTCCTCGATCTGATACTTTTCCATTTTGATAGGTTTATTGTGATGGAATAAAGGGCATTGAGAGTAGTAACCGCGCACGCAGCTGTGGGTAAACAGTTGTCTGAAAATTTTTGCCAGAACCAATAACAATTGCAATTTTATTGTACAATATAGTCTTCCTTTGAGAATTCGAACGCTTTGAACATTTCAATCGATGAATTGATTGATCCACTTCGTTTACCCGGATCATAATTTCTGTTTTTAATTATATCTTTACAACAAAAGAAGATGTTGTAAAGATTTGTTCCAACTGTTTATCTTCAAAGTGCTTCTCTCTAAGTTAATTACGTAATAATTACAGTAAGCTTTAATTCTCTTAAGTATTATTTCTGTAAGTTTTTGCTAAACACTGCGGATATGTCATCAGCTCTGAATGCAGCTGCTTTGGCAATGTTACGTTGCTGTTGTTACATTATCTAAAACACTATTTTTAATCGATTCAGAACTTTCATTGGGTAAAAGAATGAATTGAAAGAATGAAGAACTTTTTACTTCATTTTGATATAAGTTTTTTAATTGCTTCCAAGATACTTCCGTTAAATCCAATGACTACGGTGACAATACTTAAAAACTCTATCAGTTCCTATAACTAGGATTTTTAACCAGTGTTTATCAAAAAGGCAGATTTTTTCTTTCCACAACTATAATGTATAACTATAATGAACTAACTTAACTAAAAGAAATATCGCCACATACGACAACCGTATAAAACTTCGTAAATCCCCGGGAATATAAGCTGTAATTTTGTGATCAAATCACCATCTTGTGTAATATTGAAATGCAATCAATGTCGCCACCTATCAAGAGATGGCAGAGACAGTAGATTATATTACGGTTTCTAGGATGATTTAATTATTATTCCGAGACTCTGAGCAATATGCAAATTAAGTAATTAGCGTAATTACACCTTTTTGTTTTATATTGCTCAGCGACAATACTCAAAAGTTATTAAATTATCAATTCTTACTTCTGCAGAATATGTAAAAAATACAACTACTATTTCAAGATAAATCTGTTAGTAATAACACTGAAAATATCCATCGACTAACCTATAATAAAGTAGTGGCTAGTAGTTAATTTAAAGTAAAACTTTATATTCCTATCGAAATACAGTTTCATGTGCCAACATTCGCATGTTTATCTTAATGTTTCAACTGCTCCAATCCATTATCCACATCGTAATACAAAATCTAAAAACGTAATCTACAATTCTCTAAAACGCATTTATCAATCTATAAGATGCCTGGAGCAAGTACGCTTAATGTACATGTAACTTAATCTCGATTTTACTGTCAAAAGTTTTATATTTAGGTCATTTTTCATCCACTTTCGTATTACATTTGTAAAGGTTTTGTAACATTAGTTGTTGTAGTTATTAGATGGCGAGTGATCCTAGAGCAGATTATTTCTCGTTGAGCATTTGAGTAATTAGACTTTTATTAGAGTTTATAGATAAAAATCATTGGAGTGTTTAGGTTTTGGCAACCCGAAGCCATTCTAAACAATATGATTATAGAAATCTTAGAAATTCAAATGCAATATAATACTTGGTTGATATCGTATTTCACTTATTCGATTTTCGTGGTGCCTCTTTCAAACTTTTTGGGGTAATTTTACAGCTTCGTAGTTATTTTTAAACATCATTTACCACGATATAAACCGTAGATATTTTGAGAAATAAAAAACGATAATTTACGAAATATTCCATTTCAACCCTATTTTATGGGTCAATTCACGGCGATGGGTGGTCCCGTTCCAAAATTACACCCTAATTCGATATTTCGTCCCGAAACGGGGCGGTAAGGGATACGCCTCGTTACTAAGGGGGGCCGAACAGGAGCCCCCAACGTTCATAGAGATGGGGAAAATGAGGGTCTCGCGCCGAGGAAGTTCCAACGTCCTAGAATTCGGGTTACACAAATAGCGAATTCTTGATCGATCGCGCATTTTGCCAGTACCCAGAAGAGCAGAGGAAGAAAGCTCGCGACTGACAGAAACTCTGAACATAACCGAGGAAAAAGGAGTTTATAAATAGACTGTGACGTAACTAAGCCGACAATCGCACAAACCCCACAACTTCCTTTTTTTTTATCATATCTTACGTTACATCTTGATGCGGGGTAACAAAACAATTTCTTATTTCCTTCTATTTTTCTCCTTTTATTTTTCTCCCTTCTTTTTATTATTTTATATCCCGACATTTATTTCAGTTTTAGAAGAGTATTTGTTTTCTGTTCGATGCTATGGCCTTGAATTTAATACTCTTATTTTTTTTTGCAGAACGGGAGTAAGATGTCTGGTGGAGAACTGGACTTGCGAATGATGATCCATCAAAGTCAAGCAGGTTGCGTCATTGGAAAAGGGGGAAATAAAATCAAGGAAATTAGAGATGTAAGGAAGTTTCATTTTTTATTGTTTCTTTTTTCGTGAAAAACATTTTTGGTAAATTTAATTACGTCTGCGTCCAAGTCTCCAAGAGACGTGCTTTGTGAAGTATTAATAAAGAGGGACAGGTGGGCGAAGAATAAAGATGGACAGTCGTCGTCGCGTAAAGTCAAGTTAATTAAAAAGTATAACTCTTGTTAAAGAACAGCTTATTCTTTTATAGAACCCTATTTTGTTTCCGTTTCGTCGATCCAACTCAGTTTTAATTAGTATTTAATCTAACCCTAAATTCCCTTTATATTTAAGATAATTTTTATATCTTTCATGTTATTTTTTTCTCGGTAATTTTAAAACATTTACAAACAGTTTTTAATGTATTCCTTTTAAGTATTTTCATTAATCGCATAAACATCCGTTCGACGATATCCTTTTGATCCGAAAAATGAAACGAAACAGATTTGTGCTTTTCCAAGAACGTGTCTTCGCCGAAGCCAACGGGATGAACAGTTCAAATTTCATATCCCCACGGTCCCCAACCCGACAAACAAACGGGGATACCGAATTATTTGTTCTGGAATAAACCGCACATCCCAACTTTACTTACAGCCCACGCGTATTAATTAAAACTTAGCTCCGCTTCATCACCACATAACCACTACGTCCATGTAAGCATATTACAATATTGTAATGCATTATTCCATTTTTTATAATGTCGTTGAATCGCGATCGTGACTGAACTGTTTTAATACTTCGTCGAGATTTTTTTGCTTAATGAAAAAAAGATTTTCCCCCTTAGTTAGATTATGGTATAGAGAGAGTCGAAAGGGGGGAAACAATGAAAGGAGCGAGAGATGGGGGGAAACAATGAAAAACCGACGGGGACTAAAACGAAAATAAAACGCCGGTTTGTCATGCTAGTTTTAAATTGGAGTCGGGTTGACGGCAAAAACGGACACAAAGGGGGTGACGCATGCTGTTGGTTGAGTCTAGACGCGAAATGTTCGATGGTCGTCAATTTTCCATTTTGGTGAAATCACCAACGCAAAGAAAAAACAACGAAAGTTATGATAGTAAGCTTAAATTGAAAGGAACACCACTAAAATTTGTATTAAATCTCAAAGTTCGTATTCGAAACAAAAAGGTTTTTTTCGAGATAAAAGGAATTCAAAAATGTATCAAAATTTTTTTCAAAACAATGTTAAATATCGAAAAGGAAAGAAAAATCGATTGTTTATATGAGAACTTGTTTCTAATCTTAACAAAACTGCTAGAAATTTGTAAAATTAACAAAACTAGTTCCAAAAAATCATAGTAATTACGAATCGTGTTGTTTAAACATTGTAAGTGTTTAACACTTTTCTAATTTTCATATTTTTGAGTTTTTTTATTTGTGAGCAAAAATGTTATAGAGCATTGTGTTAAGGGTACAATTTCCTACAACTTTTGTTGTAAAAGTTTTTCTGTATCAGGCTCCGAATGTCGACTTTTTTAACACTTTTCTAATTTTCATATTTTTGAAAAATTCTCTACATTGATGCATCTGGGAGCAAAAATGTTACAGGGCATTGTGTTAAGGGTACAATTTGCTACAACTTTTGTTGTAAAAGTTTTTCTGTATCATACTCTTGATACAGATTTTTTTTAACACACCTCTAATTTTCATATTTTTGAAAAAGTCTCTACATTGATGCATCTGGGAGCAAAAATGTTACATCGCATTGTGTTAAGGGTACAATTTGCTACAACTTTTGTAGTAAAAGTTTTTCAGTATGATGCTCCGGATACCGATTTTATTTTTAACACTCTTCTAATTTTCATATGTTTGAAAAATTCTCTACATTGTTGCATCTGGGAGCAATAATGTTACATGGCATTGTGTTAAGGGTACAATTTGCTACAACTTTTGTTGAAAAAGTTTTTCTGTATGATGCTCCGGATACCGATTTTTTTTAACACTCTTTCAATTTTCATATTTTTAAAAAATTCGCTACATTGATGCATCTCGGAGCAAAAATGTTACAGGGCATTGTGTTAAGGGTACAATTTGCTACAACTTTTGTTGTAAAAGCTTTTCTGTATCATACTCCAGATACCTACTTTTTTAACACACTTCCAATTTTCATATTTTTGAAAAATTCTCTACTTTGATGCATCTGGGAGCAATAATGTTACATGGCATTGTGTTAAGGGTACAATTTGCTACAACTTTTCTTGTAAAAGCTTTTCTGTATCATGCTCCGGATACCGATTTTTTTAACACACTTCCAATTTTCATATTTTTGAAAAATTCTCTACATTGATGCATCTGGGAGCAATAATGTTACATGGCATTGTATTAAGGGTACAATTTGCTACAACTTTTGTAGTAAAAGCTTTTCTGTATCATGCTTCGGATACCTATTTTTTTAACACACTTCCAATTTTCATATTTTTGAAAAATTCTTTACATTGATGCATCTGGGAGCAATAATGTTACAGGACACTGTGTTAAGGGTACAATTTGCTACAACTTGTGTTGTAAAAGTTTTTCTGTATCATGCTTCGGATACCTTTTTTTTTAACACTCTTCTAATTTTCATATTTTTGAAAAATTCTCTATATTGATGCATCTGGGAGCAAAAATGTTACAGAGAATTGTATTAAGGGTACAATTTGCTACAACGTTTGTTGTAAAAGTTTTTCTGTATCATGCTCCAGATACCGATTTTTTTTTAACACTCTTCTAATTTTCATATTTTTGAAAAATTCTCTACATTGATGCATCTGGGAGCAAAAATGTTACAGGGCATTGTATTAAGGGTACAATTTGCTACAACTTTTGTAGTAAAAGCTTTTCTTTATCATGCTCCGGATACCTATTTTTTTAACGCTCTTCTAATTTTCATATTTTCATATTATTTATTTCATATTTTTGGAAAATTCTCTACTTTGATGCATCTGGGAGCAATAATGTTACATGGCATTGTGTTAAGGGTACAATTTGCTACAACTTTTGTTGTAAAAGTTTTTGTATATCATGCTCCGGATACCGATTTTTTTAACACTGTTCTAATTTTCATATTTTTGAAAGATGCTCTATATTTATGCATCTGGGAGCAAAAATGTTACAGAGCATTATGTTAAGGGTACAATTTGCTACAACTTTTGTTGTAAAAGTTTTTCTGTTTCATGCTCCGGATATCGATTTTTTTTAACACAGTTCCAATTTTCATATTTTTGAAAAATTCTCTACATTCATGCATCTGGGCGCAAAAATGTTACAGAGAATTGTATTAAGGGTACAATTTGGTACAACTTTTGCTGTAAAAGCATTTCTGTATCATGGTTCGGATACCGATTTTTTTAAAAATAGATAGATCAAGATTTTTTTCTAACGCCATATGATAAAAATCGACGAATGTTTTGTTTTTAACTTAGAATCTTTCACAAGTAACTCTAAATGTATTTAGAGATATTTTTGGGGAAAAAAAGGAGAGAAACTGCTTGAATTTCTGATAAATATCAAGAAATGCAAGGAAAATCTTGTATTTAACTAAAAACTTTGTTTCAGAATACTTCTAAAACATTGATTTAAAATAAAGAAGAAATTACGGAATGTGTTAAAAACATTTTATGTATGATATTGGCATTACACCCGTACAACCACCATTGGGGTTTCTTCTTTATTAATTAATCTTAATTATTTGGATGGATAAGTCCATTCTTACGATAGTACTATCTTCATCTTTATTATTATCTTGCACTCTTTTGTTCCACTCCCTTATTCCTGTCATCCTATTTTAGATCTTTCTCTTGCATTTCTTCTCCCTGGTTTCTACTTAATTATTGCTGTTACCAGTGTTTTCCGTTTCTTTCTATATATTGTACCTCAGCCACTTTACCCTTTGTCTCTTAACTCATTAGGTGACAGATATAATTGAAGAAATTGTATTTTTTACAATTTCTTCAATTATATATTACATTTTGGTAGATGTTTTGAACTTTGAACGTTGCGTTAACGCAACATTGGAACTATCTTTAAAACACTGTGAATGTAAAGGAATTTTACATTTGATATAAATAAATACTGTCGTGCTTGGACATGTACCCTGCAGCATCGTTTCCAGTTTTCATTGTTTCTTTGAATTATGTGTCTCACATTATCAAGTTCGGAGTTACAGAAATTGTGGAACCACGACGTCTGGTGTATTCTTTCAGACATAAAGGTCGTTTTGGATCATATTGATATTTGACCTTACTCTAAAATCGCAAATATATTCTCACGCATATATATTTACAGCATTACAAAATTATCATAAAATATTCCTGAGTGATGCAAACACATAGAATGTAAATAAGAACTGAGATTATAGGTGGCATTCAGAGTTGCAGAGTAAAACAAAAATTATAATATTGTAGGTACATAGTGAACCTCTTTTTAAGGATTACTTTAAAAACAACAAAAAAGTGTCAGAAATTAAATTTGCGTAAACAATCTTTTTGTTCTCTTTACCTGATTAATAAAATATGTTTTTAAATGCTTTATTTATTACTAACAATAATATTCCTAATTTTGTCGTAATTTGGGAATGAATGAAATGAAACGCGGTTCGTCGAATGTACATACATACTTTCTAATAAAATAAAATATGTATATAAAATAAGATAAAATGGTAATGCGTAGTGCTTCACGGATGGAGAAGTATTTGTTCTTGTGGTCGATCCGAGATTTCATCAGTTCTTCCTGTTGGTTTCCTTTGGAAAGGGGCAGACGTTTCGCCAAGATCTTACCTGGCGTCTTCAATGTCTTGTCGTAGTCTGCCAACAGGAGTCACAACAACCATAACATAAAAATATTAGTAATTTAGTAATTTTTTTTTAATATTAGTAATTTTTATTTAATTAATAAACGACTCTGAATACCCACCTAACCATTTGTTTGCAGTCACAAAAACATTTTCAGACAAATTTAGGGATGCAATTCATATATACCTGCTGGTAGTTACTAGAACCCAATGTTGCGTTATCGCAACGTCCAAGTTCACTCATTTGGAAACTATTCATCAACATTCTTGTTCTGTAAGCATGCTGAAATCATTCAGGTAAAAAAAATATAATAGTTCTTTTTTACAATGTTTTCAAATTCATATTGCCGTCTAAAAAAATCGGATCATTTTTTTTCTGTATTTGTATTTACGCTTAAAAGTTTAATTATCTGTCACAAAAAAATGCATAGGTTTGCAAAAATTCTTCTTAAACAAATATACTTTTAAATATTAAAAAAAAATCATTAATCTATGTTCCTCCACCTTCTATATTCTTACACTTTATTTTTCTTTTTTTCGATGTGTTCCTCTGTGTACTTTTCCTACTTCAGTTCTTGCTTCTTTGTTCGTAGCAAATGACACAACTTCAAAAATCTTTTGCTTATATTTCTTCCGTTTCATTTTCTGTACAACTAGTAAATCTACCACAAAAGCTGATTCTTAAATGCTGATATAGATAATTTATCCTTGGCACCCTTCTTGTAAAGATTATATGCATTGACAACTGCGGTTGCTAACAATAATTCGAAGACGTGTTTTATATACCATTTGATTCCATTTTCAATTTGGAAGAATATGGTGTTTTTTTGAATGATTTGCTTTCATTAAAGTATCAATTAAGATTAGGTTTCTCAATTTCTTCGTCCCGACCATCAATAAAATCTTACTTTCATCTAATTGTAAGAGAGGTTCTATTTCAAATCAAGTGTATAACCTAACAAATATTGGATAATATTAGTCCGAATTTAAATCCTAGAAGAAACCACGATTTTATCTATACAAAGTCACGTTCTAAAATAAATGCCTCTTTAAAACTATCAGTTAAAAATGTCAGCAAAGAATCTAATTTAGCCAAACGATCATCGACAATGGCATCTTCATTACTGGCAAAATTAATTATGCCTACAATTAATTCAAAACGATTCCAATAATCTGCTATTTTTGGAAATTTTGCTAAACCGATCCATAATCTAAGGCCAAAAAATGGCTTATTTCGTTTGCACTCACTTCTTTCCATCTATGGAAGCGAAAGTTTGACAAAGGGGTTTATCTCATTTTCTTTTGAGAAAATCGATTTGTTTCATTTACATTGATGTAGAAACAGAATATTGAGTTATTATCAACTTATTCAAAAAAAAAAACATCGCTTACAATAAAATAATAATAAAAAGTATTTTAAAATAATCTTGGGAGCTTTTTTCAAAGTATGTTTCGAACAGCATTTGTAGCAAAAACTTCCTATAACTGGTGACCAAAATATATTTTCTTCTGAATTTTCACTCTCAGTTTCATCTGGAATACAATATCTGGAGATTACAGTTTCTATAGCATCCTGAACGGAAGATGTTACTACATTTAGACTTTAATCGATGTGTAGTTAGTAAGTAGTTTTGAAAACGTTTTGAGCCTTCAGAATATATTGATTTGAAGAACTGCTTTCCAACAGTTCATCCTCCGACTGAAAGGAGAAGAGACCTCGTTTATATATTTTAACACACTTGTTCATGTTCATAACTTCCACTAATTACACAGGTCGTATTTTATCAAACACATGCCAGAACGCATTGTCGATTGTTAACAAAGGTGCAGTTTCATAGAGTAGGAGAACATTATGTGCGAGAACCGTCATATGAGTCGCAAATTAAGTGTTTAAAATGGCAGGAAACGAGACTTTTTTAACATCAAATTTCATTTTTGCTGTAAACTCTTAAAAAAAACCTTTTTTTAAGATTGTCTAAAATGTTGTAAATATATAAACAATTGCCTTTTAATATCAAAACTTGTTTCCAAATGGACAGAGAACTGTTTTTCTAATCTCATATGTCATTTTGTTTTAAATTCAATACTTTCTTCCAAATTTAGTAAAGAAATTATTAAATTAACAATAAAGACCGCGAAAAATCAAACAAAATCTTTTTAAAGCCACCTAAAGTGTTGTAAATAAATACAAAAACTGATTTTAAATTTCAAAACTTGTTTTTCAACTAAAAGAGAGTCAATACTTTCTTCCGAATTCAGTCAATAACAGTAAATTAACCATAAAGAACATGAAATATCAATCAAAAGATTTTTAACCCTTCTAAAATGTCTTAAACAATTAAATAATCGACTATTAATATCAAAACTTATTTCTAAAGTGAAAGAAAACTGTTTACGCTTCACAAATTTAATAAATTAATGTAAATCGGTTCATAAGTTCGAGAAAATTAAGGAAAATGTTCTTAAATGTTAAAAAATAGTGTTTTAAATAGAAGGAAAGAAGACTTTTTGTAACATTAAATAAAATTTGTAGCTTTGGAAGTAGTACTTGAAGTCTAACATGAAATCTCCATATAAGATTGAAAGAACTCTTTTCTAATTGTTTGCAAAAAGTAATGGGTGTTGTACTGGAATGTGGTTGTTTATTATATTAGGATTATTAGAATTAGGACTTTTTGTAAAGTTAATTGGTAAAAAACGAAATGCTTCTTGACGTTTAAAAAAGGCACTAGAAAATGTTTTATGCATCAAAAATTTAGGTTGTTGTATCTCTTTGTTTCTTACCACTTCAAACGACTTGATAACAAATATATAATGGAATAATATCAATGATACAAGCTAATCAGCTACCACCAAAAGACATCTAAAATAAGAGGATAGTGTCAGACATTGTCCATAACAATACTAATAATACATAATCTAGTAGCAAACAAAATAGGGATTAAGGATATTATCAGATATAGTGTGCAACAATGTGAATGATTTTTGCCAATAGTCTTTTAGACGTGCAATAATATCACTCCAGTATATAGCAAAGTACATATAGTAGACAGATAAGTTGTAGTATGACGGGATCATTTCCTGAAATTTCCTGTAGCTATGTAGACACTGCAGATTAATGTCAGACATAATCCACAAAAATACTAACATTCCAAACCAGTCTGATACAATGTATATAACTTCTAAAAAGATGAAACAAAACCAAACATTGCTTGTAACAGAATATATGATGAGATCTTTCAGTATATAAAATTAGTTCTCAAAAAAATTGTTTTAAAAGATTCCTTGACATTGATATTATCCAACCCACCTTTATAAAATCTTATTTGGCACTTTCCAAATTCACCTTCATAAATAATAATGAAACATTTCTATATTTATTAGACACCAATTAACCAAAAGCAACATCATAAACCTCCAATTCTAATCGGTTTTGAAACCTCATCTCCAATTCAAATCGTTCCATTAATTTTCCTGCTTTTTAATTATCCATTAATTAATTCTATCATTAAATCTTATTAAGCGTATAACGATATTATTAAAGCTGCATACGCTAACAATTAAAATTTTAAACGTAATCAATCATAAGGTAAAATATGCCATGAGTACACAAACCAATTTATCTTATTCAAAAATGTACAGAAAACCGGTACAATTCCGTGACGGGTTCAACTCGACTTAAAAAAAAAGTCATCTGGAAAGTTCGTTACCTCATTTACTAATTTAACATTTTAAAAATATCACCCCAGCTGAAAAAGAAAACGTTGTTACACCACTCGTAATATACATATAAACCGAGTTAAAACTGTTGTAACGAATGAATCGACTATACCCCTTTATTATCAAAATAAAAAGTATTAAAAAAATCGAAATAAAACTGAAAAGAATGAAATTATGTGCGAGTAAGAGAGAGATCGTGGTGGACGTTGTTATTACGCAACAAGAGGAAGCCCTTTAGACACGCACGCAAAGGGCCACAACATGTGACCACGCACATACGTCGAAAAAGGCGGCTCCAGTTTGTTGTATTCTTCGGGCAACGACCAACGCAGGTGACGCGGGGCCCGGGTTACAATGGGACAGGTGTTGGACGCAAGCGCCCCCTATATCGCGTGCTCCTCAAATAGCACCCCAATCGATATGTAGCTTTTCCACGAACCGCCACCGTAGTTGTTCCAAAACTGTCCTCGACGCGATACACACTACGTTTCCTATTCTCAACGTTTTGTTACGTTCCGTTACGCGACAATGTGTTTAGTGCTTAAAAAATATTATTTATTTTCCAAAAAATTGAAATTTATCAAATTATTTTCCAATTTGAATAATGAAATTTAATTAATCTATAAAGGTTAGTTTAATTATAAAAATTGAAATAATTCGAAGTAATTTTTATTAAATTTATGAAATAATAAAATTTATTTTATTTCCGATCTATTAATAAATCTAAATCTATTGGGCGATTTTCAACGGAACGACTTCGCTATCAACTTTATAACCTCTGACCTATTTCTCGTTATATATATTTTTTTATTATCTTCGCGAGTCGTTAAAATCAAAGTGTTACATTGTAATGTTTCCGTTCTAGAAAACCGGCGCCAGGATCAAAATCTTTTCCAATTGGGCACCTCAAAGCACCGATAGAATCATTCAAATCATCGGGGAACCGACGAAATGCGTTGAAACCATTCGTGAAATTATCACTTTGATTAAAACCGTAAGTAATCACTTAATCTTTTTTTTTTATTCAATTTTTTTATTGACGTTTTTATTTTTTTATAACTGTTTTTTTGGCGTCATTAACTTTTTATATTTATTGGACATTTTCTCTATATGAGAGCAATTTAGTTAAGTGGTGTGAGCGGATCAGGATTTTTAATTTAAAATTCGAAAGATTAAAATAAATAATTTTTTTTAATCATTACGATTTTCTGGAATTATTAGAATTATTCGAATCTTTTAATTCCATTAGAAGGAAAATCAATCGGGTTGGGTTATGAATACAAATCATTTGTGACATGAGTTTATTGAAAAAAAAAAAAGAGTTTTAATGCAGAAAGTGTCTGCATTAAATTACATCAACCAGTGTAGCAATATTCCAGAGATGTACTCATCACCGAAATACTTAAAGCTTAAGTCCTTTAACAAATCTCATTTTGTAGAGGTGCTTCTTTACCTTAGCTGTGTTAACTTACTACTGAATCATATTTTAAAAATTAATTGAACAGCTGGCAGTCTTCATGCCTTTCCCATAAATTCATAAACTTATAGTGGTTAGTGCGCTTAATACGATTAATATGGGTAAATATACGAAAATTATTAACGTATTTAAAGTACAAACTTAATAATTACCAAGCTATGCCAGTCTTAGACGACGAATCCGAACAGAAAGATCATATCAAGAACAGGCAGCTTAATAGAACATTAAAGAACAAGGATAATAGTGGAAACTGGAAAAAAATAAAGTGTAGTCACATTAAAGGACTGAGGAATGTCGCTCAAAAAATACAAATATCGGAATGTAATTATCTAAACAAGTAACTAGGAGATAGATGATGCGGAGCTGACAGGTGTAAGTAAAATAGAATGGTGGACAAATTTCTATTGAAAGAGACCATTACCGTGATAACTAATAAGTAAATGTGTAATATAACACATATAACATAACAAGAGAGAGAACAGAAAAAAGGGCGAAACGAATATGAGTCAGCAAAAATCCAAGTAGCCATTTGAAACATTTAATAAACCAGACATGCATTATCAGACACCACTGAAATCATACCAGACATGCATTAGTGTTCTTAAAAACACTTAGAACTTATATAGAACAACGCAAATAATGTTAGACTAAGAATATAAGAACCCATATGTCTTGGATTGATATGCTTTGGAGTTAGGTTAAATTGGGTAGGAGTTGACTTAGATTTGTGTCAAATTTGAATCACACTGGATTGAGTCATGTTATTGTTGGGTTGGTTTAATTTACGGATACAAGATTTTAGAATTGCATTAGCATGCTTAGCAGTTGAATTGCTTTATGGTTTGATTAACTTGCATTAGCTAACTTATATTGAGGTGTATTGGTTTTAGGACTAGGTTATAACATGTTTTGCTATTAGATTGGGTTGTGGATTGAGATTGTATTGAAGTTAGGTTAGCTTTGTTTGTGCTTAGATTAGTAGTTTAAAGCACCTGATCTCATAGCAACTTTGAATTATAATAAAAGTTGGGTTGAGTTGATTTAGGATTGCGTTGTTTTGGGTCCGATTGCCTTTCATTGAGCTTTGTTTACTTTGTGTTTGAGTTACTTTCGAGATGGATTACTTTGTGGTTGAATTACTTTAGGCTATTGCTATACTATATAATATGCTATAATATTTCGCAGACAGTTGAATATCGACATAGGCACACACTATGAAAAATACACAGAATTCAACAAAAAGTGTGATACCCTGGACAAATTTATCATTTACATATCATTTATTACTTATGTACACAGTTTATACAAACCATTTAATTTAACAAAAATGCTGGATCGCAAGGTCACTATTTGACATATTGAAGTCATGGTTACTTTGGATTAGCAAGCAATCAGGATTTGATGACAGTAATGTTGTGTTAAAGACCACTATTTCGTTTAATTTGGCAGTTGTTTACTATTCACATAACGTTAACGCGATATTAATAGAGCTTTATAGAAGAGCAGTTAATCAATTAACTCAATTAACGTCAGGTTAAGCACTAATTGCCATTCAATTTAAGTTTTATGATTATCTCTTAACAATCTTACAAATTCCTTTTAACAAACAGATTTTCTGCTCAGTATCTAGATACTTGAAATTTCTCTGAAAATTTGAATGGATAAATTAGGATATCTTTAGAAATCCCTAGGGATACCTTTTACGTCTATTAAAGCGTGGAGTATTCTATACCTATTAAAAATTTAAAAACCTTTTTTTCTTATTATATAGGGAATAATGCGGATGGCATCTATGACATGCTACTTTTGGGCACAGGAGAGGAAAAAATATATTCCTGTCCCTACTGCTTGTCATGTGTATAGTTCATAAGAGAAAAAGTTTTTGCACTAAGATTATTACATATTTTCAACTAAGATAGAGGAAAGGATAAAGACCCCCACTCCCAACTCATCTATAATCGGTTCCGGATCTGCTATTAAATGCCAAAATTCCTCTATATCTCGATAGAAAAGCTTTTTAAAAGTTCTGAAATATTTTTGGTGCAGAAAATTAGTTCTTGTCACATTTTCTGTGGTATGTCCCTTATTTTTTAGAATTTTTGACATTAAGAATACAATGTTCTGGAGATGCAACACTTTCATGAAACCAGCATTGATGAGAGCCTACTTTGAGTATTTTGTGAAGTGAGTAGTGTAAAGTGGCTCACTTCACCCCATAATTTTGTTATCTTTTCCTATCCAGTTAGCATAAACGTCTTTTTCTATCTTGTATATTTCTCCAATCTTTTTTTCCACTTGGCAATTAGCACTCTTTTGTATTCCTCCCCTCTCTCGAGTATTGAATTTATTTAACTAGCATGTCAAAGAGCGACGTCAACACTACAGCATTGCTGTGCAGTATGTAGATGTTACCCCTATAACAAGTTTTCGAGTGACCACTTCATCCATCCATACCTCAGTAAGTAAGAGAACTTCCGATATGCCATTTCTCTATAGCATGAATTGAGAATAATTTGGTTATTTGAATATTATTTCTTCATTAATATATATATACAAACCTTCTTAATATATCCTCATTCGGCTCTTTATATACAGTTCTATTTAACCTACTTGCTTTTATCGATTTACATTTTTCATTTTCTCCATATATTTGTTTTTTTCTGACAAATGTAGTTCCGAAGCTTGTTGCATCACCTTCTCTTGAGAGTTATCTTGCTACTCCACCTATTGATGATTTGTTGCAATACTATATTTCACATACTCTTGTTGGACTATGTATTAGTATCTATGCATTCTTAGAAGATAACATCTCTGTCACTCTTAATGCTGCGCACGTACGATTTCACTGAATCACTGAGCCAATTTGAAATCTAATTGTGCATTTTTACACATATTCTAAGTCATATTGTTGAATTTCTGTCAGCACCCATACACGTCGCCTTAAAATCATTAGAAAATAATTAGAACTGTTCTAAAATTACTTTTGGAGATTTCCCCAAAAAAAACTTTTAATTTATTTTTGCACATATTAATTTTCCATTCGTCTCTAATGGAACACCGACGGGTATTTATTACCATCTATTAGCACTTAAATGATGCATTGCATTTATCCGATTGTTTGTTATTCGACTGGTAATTTACCTGATGCTTTCTCTCTTAATCCCATTAACTCTCGACAATGATGTAATCTCGACTGTTTGAATCAACTGTTTCGATGTTCATTACAAAGTTCCAAAGCGTTTTGCGGTTAGAATATCTGTTGTTGTTTGTATTTCGGAATTTGTTGTTTCATATTATAATCTTTAATTTAGCTTGGTTATATTAACATTAAAAATTCAATTTTTAAACATTGATTTAACAAAAAAAATTATTTTAGAATCCGATAAAGGGACCTGTATCTCCATACGATCCTCACCATTACGATGATTTCTATGCTGATGAATATGGTGGTTATGGTGGTGGTTCAAACCAAGATAGAAGAGGTGGAGGTGGTGGACCTGGTGGTAACAGAGGTCCAAGAAATGATAGAGATGGCGGACGCTTTAATAACGGCCGTTCAGGTCCTCCTTCAGGTCGTGGTGGTCCCATGGGTGGTGGAGGAGGAGGAGGTGGAGGAAGGTAAGATTATACTGAAATTTTTTGTTAATATTTTGACGTTTCTATTTTTTTTTTGTTATAGTTATCATGATAGAAGTATGAGTGGTGATCCACCACAATCAAGAAGTGGTAACTATGGAAATGGGCCCCCGCGAATGAATGGTTCCGGTTATGCACCTCCGCACCAAAGGAATAACGGTTGGGGAAGTCCGATAAATGGCGGAGGCAATCAGGGTAACGGAATGATGAATAGCGCCCCGCCGAATATAATGTCGGGAAATATGAGTCATCCAGTTAATACTTCTGGTAACGGAATGTCTCCTAATGGAAGATCATCTACTCAAGTTACGATACCTAAAGATGTAAGTCATTTTAAATCATTTAAACAAATTGAATGAAATTATTAAAATTTTTATATTAGTCCAAGTTTTACTAATATAAGTTTAATTTTATCTCTATCTATTAGTTAATAAATTTAAGTGTATTCCGTAAAATTTCAAAGGAAACCCTCTTTTGATATTTAGGAATTCTAACATCAAAAGATCTCTTACTTCATAGAATATGTGCTCTTACTTAATTATTTTTCTAATACTATTGAAAAAAAATAAAATATTTTTTTTAATTTCCTGGAATTCACTCTTACGTTTTAATTTAATATACAAAAATTTAATTTTAATTTTTTAAAATGAAAAGTACTCTTAGAAATCTCAAGAGATCTGCGAAATTCTTGAAAATTGTTAAAAACTGCCAAAAAATTATTAAAAATTTATGAGAAACTAGTCAAGAAAGTCTAGGAAAAGGAACTGCTTGGAAATTCATAGAAAGTCTTTCATCTTTCTTGGAAATACTCTTGATGCACATAAATGAATCCCAGAAATTCTTTTAGAAATCTTTGACATTTGATTTTTTTTAAATATACATGCAATTTATCAAGCAAGATAATCTTTGGAATTACCTGAAAATTCAAGAAAAGCTGTTCAATAATTGTCAAATTTTCAGGAAACTGCTGAGTATCCAGGAATATTTCTGACACAATCCACGATAATCCTTAAATATTTTTCAAATCGTCTTCTTTGAGTCTACAAAAAATTAGTGTTTATACTTTGAAAATTTTGAATCATTCAACCCTCGCTATAACAAATTCCTTTAACCCTAGCTAGTATAGAGATACCTGAAGTTTTTTAAATTCCAGGAAAGTTATGGAGATGTGCTGAAAATCTTCTAGTATCTTGGAAGTTTTCTAAAGATTCTGCTGGATTCCAAATAAATCTCAGAAATCTTTGTAAAATTTAAGAAATTCTTAGAAGGTTTTATAGAATATTTTTAAATTTTTTCGGAAATCTTTGGATTTCTAGATGCATCCAAAATAAATCCCAAAATCATCTTAGAAATCTAAAAAATTTTTCAAAATCTTTGTGAAATTTATGGACTAGTACACAAAATCATCTGAAGATTCTTGGAAATCATCCGAAATTCTTCAAAAACCTATTGAATCCTAGACATGTGTCAGAAATCATTCAACCCTCGGTATAACAAATTCCTATAACCCTAGCTAGTATAGAGATGCCTGAAGTTTTTTAAATCTTCAGTAAAGTTATGGAGATGTGCTGGAAGTTTTCTAATATCTTGAAAATCTTCTAAAGATTCTGCTGGATTCAAAATAAATTTCAGAGATCTTTGTAAAATTTAAGAAATCCTTAGAAGTTTTTTCGGAAATCTTTGGAATTCTAGATGCATCCAAAATAAATCCCAAAGTCCTCATAGAAATCTGAAAAATTTTTCAAAATCTTTGTGATATTTATAAACTAGTACTCAAAATCATCTGAAGATTCTTGGAAATCATCCGAAATTCTTTAAAAACCTATTGAATCCTAGACATGTCTCGGAAATCATTCAACCCTAGCTAGTATAGAGATGCCTGAAAGTTTTTTAAATCATCAGGAAAGTTATGGAGATGTGCTGGAAGTCTTCTAGTATCTTGGAAATCTTCTAAAGATTCTGCTGGATTCAAAATAAATTTCAGAAATCTTTGTAAAATTTAAGAAATCCTTAGAAGCTTTTTAGAATATTTTGAAATTTTTCAAAATCTTTGTGAAATTTATGGACTCAAAATCATCTGAAGATACTTGGAAATCATCCGAAATTCTTCAAAAATCTGTTGAATCCTAGACATGTCTCAGAAATCTTTAGAAACTTCAAAAAATCATTGAGAATTTTTAGGTATTCCCTGGATGTTCTTAGAAAGCTACTCCCAACATTCTAGAAATTTTTGACAATACCTCATCAAGAAAATTACGGAGATGCACTGAACATTTTCTTGGAAATCCTCTGAAATCCCAGAAAAACTTATTGCATCTTAAATATGTCTCAGAAACATTCTTAGGAATATCGGACATAATTGTAAATATTTCAAAATTCTTAAAAATTCTTTGAAACTTCAAATCTCTAGAAAATTGTTGGGTATACTTCGAAGATCTTAATACGTCACGAATAAATTCATGAAACCTTTTCTAGAAATGTCTGTTTCAAAATTCAATTTATAGAGATCATTAAAAATTGTTTGAATCCTCTGAAAGTTTATGATAGTTTATTGAAAATTTTCTAGAAATTATTGGAAATCTTTTGAAAATCTTTGATCATTCAGATATGTCAAATAAATCTCATAAATCTTTAGAAATCCTCGAATATGGGATATTCTCTGGAAGTTCTTTAATATTTATTGGAATCCTACAAGATTTCCAAGAAGATTTTCAGTCCATCTCCGTAAATTTCTTGTTTAATTGATTAATTATCTATGATACCATTCTTTTTAAGCATTTTTAAACTATAATAACCATGAAGTTTAGATCATGCGAGATTTGCGGAAATGGAACTGTTCGTGATTCTTTGTTATTTTCTGGTAATCTTTGTTAATCCTTATATCTTTAGAGAAGATTTTGGAAATCTCTGGAAACCCTTAAAAATTCCTTAATAACCGGAATAACCTGGAAGCATTTTAATGTATACCCATATTTTTGAATCTATATCTTCCAATGATGACGATTACCATCATTAGTTAAGATAATTGATAATATTAGAATAATTCCATATTGTAAGTGAAATAAAAAGATGATCTTTGTATTTACCATTTTCCAGATTCTCATCCTCTTGTTTTCGCCATTTTTGCGATATTCATCCCCCTAACGTTCAATATTTGCATAATTGATATAATTTCCTTGTTGTAAATGCCGATGGAGATGATCTCGAGATGTTCGATTTGGAAATTAATAAGTGAGAATATCATCGCTACTTGGGTCTTCATATGCTAATTTTAAGGTCTCGAATACTTGAAGATTGAGACCTGGTTTATGAGAAATATGTTTCAGGGTAACTTTCGTTTTCTGCCACGAGCATCACGTGTTACGGTTTGTAACAAACAGGTTAACAGTTTGTCATACAACGTAGCCATATTAAATATTGTACCATTCAAAAAGTTTCTCGTACCTGTCAAAACGATTGAGGCCGAATTAATCCGTTGTAATTACCTTCAATATCTTAGAATGGTGTAGATAGTGTGAGTTGTGAAGGAGGTAATTTAGAAATGAGTTGGTAATAAGTCCCTATGATTTAACACGTTTCATTCAGCAATTAATAATATTGCTATAAGGAACGCAATTGTCTGGCTTGAAATTATTGAATTCGGTGTTTAATTTCATCTGGTAAAATAATTCTTGGGAAATCAAAGGATTAAGTTTCCTTATCAATTTGTAAACACAAAAACCCCTTTTTATTAATACTTTAGGAAATGTTTAACAAATATATTAATTACAATTCATTTTGTTTAAGCTTGCTGGTGCAATAATTGGTAAGGGTGGTGGAAGAATTCGCAAAATTAGACAAGATTCCGGTGCAGGTATCACCATTGATGAACCTCTTCAGGGCTCAAACGAGCGTATAATAACGATCACCGGGATGCCGAATCAAATACAAATGGCTCAATATCTCCTACAACAGAGGTAAAATAAAATTTTATTAAAACATTTTTCATGTTTATCACAATTTATTGCTGCTATGCTATTCACTGCAATATTATTATCAAAATTCATTTTTATTACATTTTCATGAGCTTTTCATCCGCTTTTTCTTTAGCTAACAAACATTAAAAATATTATTTTTGTATACAAAAATAAATCCCGTGCAAGAGGGAGGATTGGCGTACTAACAATTTCGACTTAACCACGTGGAAGACTAGTGATTTTGTTGTTCTGCATTTTGGTAACAAAAAATCACTAATCATCCCATGGAACGGTCGACAATCATCATATTACTGGAATTTGATTCTTCATATTTCCTTTTTTATGGGTAACTTAAAATTTTATATCATTATTTTAACCCATTTGCATCATAAGCTCAAATATGCGCGCATTTTTCCTAGCTTTTATCATCGAAGCGTACAATATCCGCGCAGCTACAACATATACATACGCTTTCAATAAGTCGAAGTGTTCAAAATATACAACTTGACGCAGAATAATAACTATATAAAACTAAAATTAAGTTTCTTAATTCTAAAATAATAATAGCAGCGCTTTGTCGCACATTGTAGCATATTTTATTTTTTTACGCGAAAACTATTAAAAAACAACAACACACAAAGAGGTTGTGAATGTCATCTTCTTAGAGAGCGCTAGGGAAGCTTCAAGTATGCTTGAAAATAAGGTATTAACCAGTAGTAAAAAGGAGTACAGTGTGTTAATTAATTATTGTACCCGACGTCATCATTGCAAGTATGCAACCAATATCACAGTATTGGTATTGCAATACGCAAATCGCGTGTTATAAAATAAATACTGTGATATTGGTTGCATACTTGCAATGATGACGTCGGATACGATACTAAATTAGCACACTGTACATACAATTTTTCAAATACTACGGTTTACTTATAGCTGGGATAAAAAATAAAATGTAAATTTTTTGCTCAATTTTGATTGCTCATAGCTTGAAAACAAATGAGTTGCGACCTTATGTTTATATAAAAAAACTTGTGTTATCTTAACAAGTACTAGATATCCTAGTAAAGGTTCCTCAATTAAAATCTGAACCATTCTGTGTATATTTCTATAAAAACGATAAGCTAAGAGACGTATTGAGTAGTATTCAACGTACTCTTCAGTAAGAAATTAAAATATCGAAAAATGGTATTAAGAAGTTATTGTTTTCTTATCGACCTGGATCGATCGACGCTTAAAATTTCGGAAGAGCTTGGTGTTATTTATGGAAGTGTTCAATCAATTATTAGAAAGCAGTACATCAAATCTCAGCCTGTTGGGGCCAAGGGTGCTGAATGATGATCAAAAAGCCACACGAGTTCGCATTTCTCAATTGCTTCGAACTCGTTTTGAAGAAGAAATGAAAGCTTCTTTGTATAAAATTGTCATCTGTGACGAGACAACACCAAACTACAGTAGTAAAAGTTCAAACTGCATACCATCGAGACATAATCTCAAAAGAGAAGATTATCAGGAAATTCTACTACATCTTGACAACAAATTTATACTTGGAGGAAACTTTAATACAAAACATATGTCTTGGGGTTCTCGCTTGACAAATACAAAACGAAGAGAACTGAACCATGCAATAGAAGCCCTAAATTGTGAGGTGCTCTCCACTGGGAAGCCAACTTACTGGCCAACAGATAGAAGTAAAATTCCGGACCGGCTTGATTTTTTTATTACGAAAAATATATCGCTTAACTTCGTAAACATAGAAGAAGAGTTAGGGCTGGACTCAGATCACTCACTAATAATAATTACTCTAAATAACAAAGTATGTAACAAAGAATCCTTTTTATCACTAACTAATAAACTCACTAATTGGAATCTATTTCAACAAACGTTACATAATAAAATTCATCTTAATGCTCTTATGAAAATAAACAAAGAAGTCGAAAAGTTCTTAAAAGACATATAAAACGCAGCCTGGGCCTCAACACTAATTTTAACACCAAAACCTAAATCTAATATTTATCCTAAATTCATTAGAGATAAAATTGCAGAAAAACGAAAAGCAAGAATGAAATGGAAAACCAATAGAATTCCTAGTGATAAAACTAAATTAAATAAAATAACAGCCGAATTAAAAGCATTAACAGATAGCCATAAAGATAATAATATTCAAAATTATTTAAAAGGCCTTATTGACGATGCCAGTACTGATTATTCTCTGTGGAAGGCAACAAGAAAGCTTAATGTTCCAAAAACGCACATACTTTCAATTCGAAATAATAATGGAAATTGGGCTAAGAGCAATCAAGAAAAAGTTAATTTTTTTGCTGAATATCTGAAAGAAACTTTTACATCAGACAGTCCAACAACTATGCTAAATAGTGTCTCTAGCGTAATTTAAAGTGATCAGCAGAGTAATATACCATGTGCAAGAATGAAAGAACTGTATTATGAAATACAAAAACTAAATATAAAAAAAAAACCATAAGCCAAAACATCTACCAAAACGGGCGATTACAAAACTATTACACATAATTAATGCTGCTTTTAAACAGAAATACTTCCCAAGCATATGGAAAGTTGCTGCAATAATAATGATACCAAAACCTGGTAAATCCCCTACAGATGTTACATCATATAGGCCAATTTCATTATTACCCTTACTATCAAAACTGCCTGAAAAATTACTATTAAAAAGACTAAAACATGTCATAGAAGAAAAAGCCCTGATACCAACACATCAATTTGGGTTTCGGAATAAACATGCAACAATAGACCAAGTGCATAGAATGACGAATACTATCGAAATAGCAATGGAAGAAAATAAAGTCTGCTCCGCCCTATTTCTGGATGTTGCACAAGCTTTCGGCAAAGTCTGGTTAGATGGTTTAAATTACAAACTAGACCAAATACTGTCATCAACGTATTAGTCAACTACTAAAATCGTATCTTTCTGATGGATATTTTAGAGTAAAATACGAAAACACTCATTCACCACAACATGAAATACGAGCCGGAGTTCCTCAAAGAAGTGTGCTTGGCCCAACACTGTACAGGGTGTCCAAATTTCGATGGGTTTGCAGGGTATCTCAGTTATTATGAAAGATAGAAAGTTACGACTTTCGCGAACTTGACCTACTTTTTTGTGAAACTTACATTGGCGCTAACCAAATTTTCATAGTCCTCTTCGTTTTTGACATACAGGGGTGTTTGAAATTTACGATTTTCAGACACTTCCTGTATCTCGGCTATCCGGAAACTTAGTACAAAAGTAAAAACGGGTTCTAATAGATTTTTTCACGTGGAATCCAATGGAGCACGTAAAATTTTTCTGGTCATCACGGTTTTTGAGTTATAAACACAACTCAAATACTGAATACTCAGCTTCTAAAATACTTTACTGTTTATAACTCAAAAACCGTGATGACTAGAAAAATTCTACGTGCACCATTGGATTCTATGTGAAAAATTCCGGATAGACGAGATACAGGAGGTGTCTGAAAATCGTAAATTTTGAAACACTCCCTGTATATCAAAAACGAAGAGGGCTATAAAAATTTGGTTTGCGCCATTGTAAGTTTCACAAAAAAGTAGCTCAGGTTCGCGAAAGCCGCAACTTTCTATCTTTCATAATAACTGAGATACCCTGCAAACCCTACACATTCGACCTTCCCCAGATACCAGAAACTTTAACAGCTACATTCGCAGATGACACAGCGATCTTGGCTGTTGCAGAAAATGAAGTAGTTGAGCAAATAAGTTACAATTGACCTTAAATTCAATAGAAAACTGGACAAAGCGATGGCTAATAAAACTAAATACACATAAATCGACATACATAAACTTTACTTATAAGAAAGTAATCTCTGTCCCAGTACACATAAATGACAATGCTGTCTAGTGATGTTACGGATGTGAGTTTAGCGGATGTGGATGCGGAATCGGATTTTCTAATTCTAATTTTGCGGATGCAGATTTAACGGATGAGGAGTTTTTGAAAAAATTTACGTACTAAAATTTTCATGAAAATAATATTTCTACTGTAATTAATAGTAATTAGTAAATTATTAATTGGTAATTAGTAATTATTTATTGTAACGGAGCTCAGTTAAAATATATGCGGATGCGGATTCTCAAAACAATGCGGATCATCCGCAGTTGCGGATGCGGATGCGAATATCCGTTACATCACTAATGCTGTCCCTTACGCCGACACCGCAAAATATCTTGATATGACGCTGGATGCCAAACTCAAATGGAAAGCGCACGTCAAATGCAAGTCTGATTCAAAGATTCCAGAATAAAGTACTAAGGTGCATAGTGAATGCACTCTGGTATATAAGAAACACCGACCTCCATCGCGACTTAAAAGTAGCATCGGTGTCATCAGAAATTGCATCATTCGCATCTAAACATGAGAATAGAATGCACGATCATCCCAACATCGAGGCCATCCAGCTTCTTGACAACGAGGATTTCCTGCGTCGCCTTCAGAGGATGAAGCAGTTCAATTTAGTGACCTAGTGCCCTAGTCGATTCAAACGCGAGCAATAGTGCGGAATTATAACAAAAACAATAATACCCGTAAACGTGTGTTCCGCGTATCGCAATGTGCGCGTTGTTGTGTTTTGGTGTTAAAACTGTAAAAATATAATATTTATCATATTGTGGCTAAAACAGATTGGAACACTGGGAAAAGCTGAAAAACATCATTTAGTTTAATTTGGTGTTAAAAATAAGTAACTAATTAGTATGTATTTACTAGGTGTTATACAATAATTGTGCTATACATAATATAAAAAAAAAAATCTGTGACAGCCAAAACTCGATTGTTTGCGGGGAAAGTGATGGCTACGAATTTTTGGGACTGGAGAGGTGTCCTACTGGTAGATTTCTTACACGGACGGCAGACCATATTACCTATTACTGCGATCTCTTGGATCAATTTAAGCTTCAGTATTGACGCAAAAGATAAGATTGTTCCATTCGCGAGGTGTTGTTGCTCCACGATAACGCCACGATCCCACACAGCAGCAGAAATTGGTGGAAATGAACTGGAAAATACTTGACAATGAACTTTACAGTCCAGACCTACCTCTCAAAGAAGCACTTGAAAGCAAGCAATTAGTCACACAATCTTTGTCGTTATAATCACTCCAACTCCATATTCTAATTTTCTATCTGATGATCCTAAGTAAAAAATGATGTGCTCTTCTTTATCAATGCGTCCTCCTTCAGGCCATCTCTTTTCGCTTATACCCATTATTATCAGTGTTCAATTTATTCTTTTCGTAGATAGCGTTTTCTATTTTTCTCTTATCATAGTCCTAACGTTCCAGGTACATATCTTTATAGTCTTGACACTCGTAAGTGTCCTCTCTGGAGATGCGATTGAGAGAATTACTCCGGAAATATATTTAGTTCTGAGCAATGCCATATGATTTTAACTAGGATTATAGTTTTCCACACGGCGATCGGTTTTTATGACTTTGTCACTTTCCTACTGTAGTTGTAAAACTAACAAAGACGGGGTTGTAACAGGTAATTCCCCATTGTAAAATGCTGGGATTTCTCACTCAGGGCGGCATTAAGGACCACACTTTACTGGCAAATTGTAGAAGAATAATAGGGTCATATATAAATACTCATTATTCTCTTATTTGTTGTGTTTCTAATATTAAGTACATATTTTTTCTAAGAAATGTTTTGAGGAGGCATGCATTGTCTACTTACAAAAGAGGGCGGAGAATAATAAAATTAGATTCTTTAAAATTTTGTTATTCTATTATTTAGACATTCCTAAAAGTAATATTTTTTTCTAAGACTTTTATACTAGTTTTTATAATTACATTTTAGTTGTTATAACTAAACTTTGGTTTTTAATTAAATTTTAGTTTAAAAAAATGTAAGTTCTACCCTGTACTCGAGGGGGCAAAAATCACCCCGGCTTTTATTTATGACTGTCATAAAAACCGATCTGGATGTGGAAGAGTATATCTAGTAGGATCTTTAATGTTGTGCTTATCTTTTGTCTTCTACATCCTTATGATCCTTACTGCTTATATCGGCAGTCACACGGTCTAGCAGGGTGCATCACAAGTATTTGACGTTGTCATTTGGGCTGGTAAATTTTATCTTTCCTTGACTCCCTAGTTCTCTGATAATTGGAGGTTTCACGCCGCCATGATATACTGAGGATCGAATTTTATAGTTTTGATTGATTCCACAAAATGCGTAGAATCTTTGACATAGCTCTCGTCAAGTGGTAGGTTGGAGAATTTATGGCACTGACAATATCTGGTTTATTAGTTTTAGGTAATCCATAAGTTCTTGGTGGTATTAAGGCCTGTACAAACAAACTGCTCTGTTGTTTTGCTGTAGATTTTATCTTCTTGATTTATTTGTAAGTGGCTGGTTCCAAAAGGCTTGTCATCATTACCTTTGTCTGGTAGAAAGAGAATGTCTGTTTTTTTCTCTGATCATCCGCGAATTATAATTTATCCATCTGAATGATGCAAATGGGTTAATGCTTAACATAAAACGTAAAACATATATTTTGTAATAAATAATAATATTAATTTATATGATTTAAATTGATTTTGAATTTCTAATTTTATTTTTTATGTGTTTCAGTGTTCATAATAATGCAGAACGCAACAGTTATTAAGGACCAGTAATATTTTAACAACAAAAGTTTAATTGAAGATTAAAAGAAATTAAAAAAAAAAAAACTAACACCAACAACAAGTATCTTATTATATATCACAACCTGTAAAAATTTGTAAAAGGAAAAAAAAATTTTGTGGAAGAAATCGAATTATTTTATAACGTATAGTTTATAGGTGTTTTCAAAAATATTTTATGAATATATACTATTAATAATAATAAGTATGTGTAATGATACATTCCAAAAGAATAAAAAAACGAGAAAAAAAATATCCAAAATGAATCCCCAAAATAAAAGAAGGAAATGTGTTTTTGGGACATATTAAGATTAAAAAAAGGAAGAATATTCTTAAGTTTTAATTTTTAATACCATGTAATCATAAAATTTACTTTGTGTTTTTCTTATAAAATAATGAAAAAGAAAATCAGGACAATAAATCAATAAGTTCATTCAACAAAAAAAAAATAATTACGATTCATCTTATTTTACAATACTTATACAAATGGTACTGAATAATTTTAGTTTTTTTTTTATTATTTTTAAATAGTTTTTAGTAACATTTTTTTTTTCTTTACGTTTTTTTCATAATGTTTCCTTAAGATTATCCCTATAGTGACCAATCGTTTCGTTAGCAATAATTAACAGCATTTAACTTTTTAAGATTAAAAAAATCCATTTGTACAGTACTAATTAAAAAATGACAGGAAAATTAACATCTCTAAGTTTCTATTACACTCAAAAGTTTTAATTTAAAAGAAAAGTGTACAATATTTTTCTCTCGTGGCAAGACACCCCTCCCCCTCTGTATATTGATATTCTAACATTTCTATTATAATTGTACACATCGTCAGGGAACAACGCAGTACAAATCTCTCTTTTTATTAAAAACAAATACAAAAAAAATGAAATAAAAACAACTAAAACACGGAATATTATCGGATTAAAAAAATCATAAAAGAAAATTGTCTACTACTTATGTACTACTACTACTATTACTACTGATATGATGTAGTTCTCTCGTTCCATTGAATGCAAAAAAGTAATAACTTGTGTTGCGCCTCATCCTGTATGTAATGTATCAATTATTATTATGATTATTATTATTAACTAACCCATCTTATTATTATAAGCTCATTGTAGTAACATTACAGAAAAAAACCAACCAAATATTTTTCTAGTTTTAGTTTTTGATTGTGTCTACACTGGTACGAATATTGTATAATTATACCATAATTAGAAATCCTTCAATAAATAATGTCCGGAATTTGTTTTTTAATTTTTGCTGTTGGTCTTACTTTTCCTAAAAAATTTAATTTAGTATTATCCCTTTGTATATATTTTCTTCTTAATCAACTCAAAACATTGTTTCAATCTATTTCCAAAATATTGTAACTTTAATATCTTGTTTCTATACTATATATTTTATACAAAATAAAACGCTTACCACTCCTTAGGAGTAGTATAATCCTTACCAAGGTAAAAGTGAGAGAACAGTTGACAGTAACATAAGTGCAGAAGAACATAAAACATTGATACTTAGAACATTGACTGTTATCAAGTTTTAAATTTAAAAGTTGTTGGAAAGTGTTTGTTTTCCATTAACTAGGATGTGAGAGATAAAGTGTGCTTTAGAAGAAAAAAGATAGGTTAAAAATTAGAAGAGAAATATTAAAAGATGCCATATTCATTAAAACAACACGTATTTACAGTCTTTCCTTATTTAGAAAAAATTTCGAGATAAAGAATTAGTTGTTGGTCAGCGCCATTATTGAACATGATAGAGATTAAAAAAATAGAAAACATTATTGGAATTTAAAGCGATTTAATTTTGACATAAATGCGTAAAGCTTAAAATCTTCGTAAAGTGCTGGTGCAGATAAAAACGCATCCACACAACAATTCATCTAGCTCTTGAAGGTTTTTCAAAGTAAGCGCGCGTTTGGGCACAGAATAACGTTATTCTGTGACAGGACAAAATAAATTTGCCAAGATGCACGTAGCCTGTTTGATAGAAGATAGACAAAGAGAATGTTTGAGTGGAGACCAAGAATGCGTGAGATGTAGAAGAATGACAAATTGGGTACAGAGCGCGAAATGAACAAAAATAAGGGTTTTAGCAATGATAACAAACATAAATTAAGAGTTGGTATTGCAGGAAAATTTCCATTTTCTCAGCTTTTCCCAAGCTTTTTGAAAAAATTATTTTAGCCACTCACAGCTACTCACTCTCTCATTACTGAACAACATGGTTTCTTGTCTGGGCAATCTGTTGAGTCTAACTTGGTGTCTTATGTTAACGTTATCCATTCTGTCTTAAATGAGGACTCGCAGGTTGTTGCAATTTACACCGATTACTCTAAAGCCATCGACAAAATAGACCATTCTTATACAAAAGCTGATCTTTTAACATTCCAGATGGCATTGTTCGCTAGGTATTGTCAAAACTATCGGCTAGAAGTCAGGTAGTCAAGATTAGCTTTCTATCCGATTACAAACCTAGCTTATCTGGTGTGCCTCAAGGAAGTCAACTTGGGCCTAACATTATTTTTAATTTATATAAATGACGTTTCTTCTTGTTTTAAATTCTCCAAATTCCTGCTATATGCGGATGATAATAAAATATTTACAAGAATCGGCTCAAGTCTTGAATGCCTAAGGCTTTAGGAAGACCTTGATCGCCTATTGTCACATTATAATTGATGCCAAATTGAGATATCACCTTCATACCGAATTACTGTTAAAAAAACCCTGCGGAAAATGTGGTTGGTTATCAGAATAAGTAGAAACTTTAGGCTTTTGTTAATATTGTGTTCCTCTATGAACTTGTTAATATTGTTTTTAACTTTTTGTTCTTGCGGAAGCGTCGAGTTGTGTTTGATTTGATCTTCTTTTTCAAACTAGTCAATGGCATGCTAGACGCTTCTGACCTTTGGCAGAATTGAACTTTAATTAAACTAAAACTAACACCAAACCTAGAAACTTTCGGATCTTTTTGAAAAAATATTTTCGGCTGCCATGTTGCAACCTTTTTCAGAGACAAGTTCGAAGTGACGAAATCTTTTAAAATTTGACAATAAATACATGAAAAGATAATTAATAACTAATTAGTGTTTAATTGTCAACTAAGTTGTTTTTGTCAAATCCGGGTGGAGAAGGTTTCGTTTAGTTCAGTAGCATCTTCCATGTGCGGTCGAGTTCCTAACCCGCTTAACCGTCTTCTCTATTCAAGTTGTTGATGAATCTCTATCACCTCTCTCGTCAATCTTTGGAAGTAATGTCCGTTTCTCGCTATCATTTTGCTTTTGTCAAACTCTATGGTGTGTCCTCCTCCGTGGCAATGCTCTGCGACTGCAGACTGTTGGACTTTTCTTAGTCAGACATCCCTTTCGTGTTCCTTGATGCGACATTCGATGTTACGTCCAATTTGGCCAACGTAATATTTCCTACAACTGCACGATAGCCAATTAATGGGGTTGGGTTGGGTTGTTTTTTTTATTTGCCTGGTTTGGTGGCTCGTTGAATATCCCTCATCGTATAGCCGTTCTTCTGCAGTACATCTTCTAGGAATCTTTCTCCTTTCCTCTTCTGTTGTGGGTGATGGTGGGATAAAACCTGCAGGTACCTATTCGTATGCGTCTTTTATCGATATAATCCCAGTTCCATGCCCCCATCTGTCTTCCTAGTGACCAACACATCCAGGAATTGCAACTGTTTTGCAGCTTCTGTTTCTATAGTAAATTTTATATAGCTTCGGTTTCCACGGAATCTTCTTTAACGCTTCGTAGAACTCTCCCTTTCAGCTAAAATATGTCGACGATAGGTAGTACTCCATTAGTCCTGGGACATACTTTGGAAAACCCTCCGGGATGAGTTTCTGGCGAAGACCATCCACGGCATCTTTGATTGATACTCTGATGAATAGAGATTCCACGTCGAAACTTATTATGATATCCTGAGGGTCTAGCTTCATATTCCTGATTAATTCTACATAATGTGTGGAATCTCTGACANGGAAAACCCTCCGGGATGAGTTTCTGGCGAAGACCATCCACGGCATCTTTGATTGATACTCTGATGAATAGAGATTCCACGTCGAAACTTATTATGATATCCTGAGGGTCTAGCTTCATATTCCTGATTAATTCTACAAAATGTGTGGAATCTCTGACATATGACTCTGTTTTACCTGTAAAAGGAGACAGAATCTTGGCAAGGTGTTTTGCTAGCTTCCATATATCCTTAGCGATACTAGGGCCTGGACGAATAAGCTTTTCTGTTATTCTGCTGGGATTCCAGTAGATTTTAACAGTTCTTTCATCTTCTTTGCTTTGCTGTTTTTAGCACTCTCATAATGTCTTGACGAATTTCTTCTGCTTTCACTGCAGGTATTCGAATAGCCGCTTCCACTTCACATATAACTTCTTCTTTAGGAACCCTCTTCAGAGCGACTGCATAATTTGAACCTTTGGCGAGTACTTTAGTTTCCTCCTCTGATAATGGGACGCTTGATCGATTGATGACGACTGTTTCGATTGGCAAATCGTAGTTCTTCTTGTGAATCATGATCTATCAACTTTGTAGCTTTATATCGAAACTAGGCAATGTTGAAAGACGATTTCACATAATTTTGTCCAAATAGGTTACATCTAAGGCGATGTAGTTGGTATCATATTGACACACTGCTTGACATTGAAACATTTTTGATAGATTTTACTTTGGAACTTTAAACGACGTAGTTACTTAATAATATTCCTTTCATTTTCTTAACAATAAATTGTAGATTGTATTTTCGTAGCTAATTCAAACATGTTTTATAAGGAGTCTGGGCAAATAAAATGTAGACATAAAAAATGCAATAGACAATATTACTGTATATAATTAAAACGTGCATCCCAAAAAGTGAAAATGTATGATTATTTATTTATATCGCAAATCCAATATAAAAATGTAATACGAATATTTTGTTGTGACCTTTTCCTGGAGATAAATAAATAATTTATCTGATTATCTTTTAAATAAACAATCATTTCTTAGAAAAATCGCATGCGCAAGCAATAAATACATGTAAATTTAAATCGTATACAGTTGAGAATTTTGTCACATCTCTTCAAACACTAGCAGAGATTACAAGTTGTTTATTAGAAAGTCAAGGTTGATAATTTAATATTAAAAGATGAATTCCTACAAAAGTAAGTGTTATAAAAAAAATAATAACCGCTTAATTTTATTAATTGCAGATAAGGCAATCTTATTAATCGCTATATCATTTATTATTGTGATCATTAGTAAGTAAAAAATAATTTTATACAAAATTGTTGGTTGAAAATCAATTTAATCATCAATTATTTTTAATTTTAGATGGAACTCCAGTTAATGATTGTGGAAAAGATGTCACCAGCAAGTTTTATCCTAATTTCGACGATTGCACAACGTATTATAATTGTAGTGCAGGTGTAATGCAATTAACTAATTGCCCTGATGGATTACTTTTCCACGCTGATTACGGTTATTGCGACCTAGCTGAAAATGTTAAATGCTAAAAGCTTGTAATTTATATCTAAAAAATAAAATACATTTGTAACAAATAAAAGTATTACTTCGAAAATGAATTATTGATTATAAAGTTAATTAATAATTTTAAATTTTTAGCGCCAATTATTCTTACAAATTAATCTCGATAGATGGCGCATGCTGGAATTAAATTTCAATAAATACAAATCAAATCATAAATTGTACAGTAATAATAATAAATCGACCAAAATTATTATTAAATAATATTAATTATTACAAAAATTAATTTTAATTTAAAGGTACAAAGAATGACCACACAAAGTAATTAAAAGTGACGTTTAAACGTCAAAAATAAAAAAAATGGCTAACCTATAAAATAATATTAACACGTCAATAGACGTTTATTAATTTGTTTATGGTAACGAGAATATGAAAAATGAAAAGACAAAAGTAAAATTATTAATTGAAGTGTAACCTTGACGTTATAATAAAATTGCTTGGTGGTGTTGTTGTTTTTTTGTAGACGACCCAAAGAAGAACAATACAAGAAATTGACGGGAAAATACAGCGATGACAGTTCAGACGAAACGGAGCTCTTCATCATTAAAAAGACCACTTACCAAGAACCACCGACGGTTGAGAAAATAGTAGAAGAAGGTGATACTTTACAAGCCATAGCTATCCGATATAGATGTACCGTAAGTAATTAAATCTAATCCAAAAGAAAAATTGGACACCTAAAATTAATTTTATAGGTAGAGGAATTAAAACGTATAAATCATATTTTAAATGCTAATGAGATCTTTGCAAAAGGAAAAATAAAGGTTCCCGAAAGGCCGTTTTCAACGATTTTAGCAGGTATTCATAACAATAGCGGTAGATCGTCTCCTAAAGATGATGATGTCGCAATAAAAAAAGAACCTGCAGTTGCAAATTTGATTGATTTGCCTTCAACAAGTTCCACAAACGAGAATGTGAACAATGTGATTTTTAATTCGACCATTTCAAATACAAAAACTTGTGATAACGACATAAACGAGAATTATGATGAAGAAATAACTTTACTGCCGGTACACTCAACCATTTCACATTCACCTCCCTCTAAGTTTAATTGTAGTGGAGTCGATGCTGATATTTCCTGGATTACACTTATCGTTTTTATTGTAACTTTAATAGTTGCTGTACCTCTTATTTTTGTGTTTTATATTGCCGAGCATCATGAAACATAAATTTTTGGTCTTTTTTGTGTCGTATGGATTAAAAATTTGTTTTAATTAATTTATTAAATGAAGTATTTTTTATAATTTAACAGTTGTTACTAATAATGTGATAAATTTTAAGGAATTTATTGTGAGAAAGGATTGAATATTTTTTATACATAGGTTGTATTACATTTATAGAATAAAATGTAGTTTTTAGGTAATGTTGTATTTTATTCGATTAAAATGATAAAATCAATATTGTTGCAGTGAAAAAATTGTTTATCTAGATTTAGATAAATAGTAGATAAATTTTAAATATAACAATGAATGTTAAACATTCAGTATTCATTTTTTTTTAATGTTATATACGTCATTGTTCTATTTGGCTGATAATACACATAAAAGACTTACTTAACCTGATCACACCTTGAAACCATTTTATATAAACTTGCAGTTTAAATGAAAATATACAATTAATATATTTCAGTCAAATTACTTAACCAGTCGTACTTTATCTGACATACTGGGTGTTCTAATAAGGACATGGAGTTGCTGTATCTCAATTAGAGATGTTATAAATTAGTATTTGTGGGAAACAAGTACAATATGTTTCTGTTTTTAAAAAAGTAGTACACCAAATACCTGTTACAACTATTCCTCTGTTCCAACCGTTATACTATATTAGTATACAAGGTTACTATACTTAACCAGTATCTATATATAATACAGAAAAACCTTAATGTAACAGATTATTACAGGGAAGTGTGTGTCCATACAGGGTGCCTCATCGAGACCGGTCATTAGACATTTCTGGGGTTCTGGCTGAAATACAAATTTGAGAATTCAGATTTAAGTATTATGAATTGCGTTCTCTTCGACTAAAATATTTTCAGATTTCTAACACTTCCGGTTATACCGGACGTCGCCACCTACTTTATTTTTTTAAATGGAACACCATGTATATTTTTACATATTTCGATTTGTCTGTTTTCAAGGTTTATAAATAACTTTACTTTTTGCAATTTGATTAGGCCGTTCTCGAGGTATTCGAACTTTTCTAGAAAAATCTGCTCCAGCAGACATTTGTTCAAAAAATCAGAGAACACTCGATTTTTGGGATATCAATTTAGGATTCAGAACATCCTTAAGCAACATGACGGAGTATGTTTTCATGCCGAGAACGGCTGTCTAGAACGTTTGGTCACTTTACTATGGCACGTTAACTTTTCGAAATTTTGAAGTACCATAACTTCATTTTTTTAAATGGCACCCTCATATTTAATTACTTACAATTAGTCGTCTTCGGTGTCTCATGCTACATCTTTTATATCCCATATGTCCCATCCCTAACATTAATAATTTGGGAGATAATTAGGGTTTTTTGAAGTGTGTGTTTTTTAAATTAAAGTGTATAATTGTTATTAAAAGACACCATTAGAAAGAGCAGAAAATTTTTAATAAGATAGATATGCTTCTATAGTTCATTTTTTTCTATAATACCTGCCAAACTGTTGTAAAGTTGGCAAAATTAACAGGGTGTTTTGTTTTATTATGTTTTGAAATAAATATGTCACACTGACGTTTTAGCTTTCGTTATTAAAAAAAAAAGGTGTTTAAAAAATGTTGTGGGGTGTTTATTTGCCATTTATTTACCTAGAAAAGGTGTTTTGTTCTATTTAATTCTAATTAATTTTACTTTGTTAAAATCGTATTTGTCTAAAAATTTATTAGTATTTTAACCTCAACTATTTAGTTACTGAAAATGTTACTAAAACTCAGGAAAACAACATAAATTTTATAAGGGTCTTAGATAATACCAACAGAAACCCTAAAAAATTTACATTGACAAGTATTATAGAAAAAAAAACGAACTATAGAGTTTTCTCTTGGTCATATAAGAAAGTTATCGACCCGAACAAGGTTTAAAATAGCTAAAACGTACGAATTTAACAGTTTTTGGCCAAAAACGTACTTGTGCAAGCGCGTGATCGCCGCGTGTTATACATTAGTAGAAAGAACAGGAAATTTTCGATAAGATAGATATACTTCTATAGTTTTCCCCCTATCAAATAAATCAGTTGTTTAGAGGAAGAGTATTTAAGCGTTTCTGCGTGTAGGGATGTATATTAGTGTGATTTAAGCATGACGCCGATAGATATTGACCGACGAAACCCCGGTTTAAGATAGTTTAAGGAGCGCTCTTTCTGACTGTGCTAACAGTTTTTTAAAATTCCCATTTATAACAATTGCACAAGACCTTGAAGTTTGGTAGTTTTGAACTATTTTAAGTACAGAACGGTGTTCTTCATTTTTTATTGATCTTAATATCAACGTATCGGCAGACGAAAAGGTTTTAGATAGAGAAAGATTCAAGCTTTGAAGTGGTGCACTTAGTTTTTTGCTATCTCTAATAATAAGGAAGATATCAGCTAAGAAAGTAGAATATGTAATGATGACATGATGACATAATATGACATGTGGAGGACAATAAATTAAGATGATTTAACGCAACTTATCTCTATACTAAGTTGTACCTCTCAGGAATTATAGGCCTTCAAAGTTAGATCTTAAATTTTTTGAATATCTTCGTATTACATTAAGCTAGAAAAACCAAATTTGGTATACGTTATGAGTGTACCGAGGGTATTAATTGGTAGCAAGTTGAGACCAATTTCTCAAATTTTTATTTTGGCCAGAACCCCAGAAACGTCTAATGAAATGACCGGGCTCGCTGAGACACCCTGTATGAAAAATTTTTAATTTACACTTTAAACTGTTTGAATGAATAATTTTAATGCATTCCATTTAGGACAACAGCTATCCACACCGTTGCGTTCATATTAGTTAGTTCTACTGTTAAGTTCAATAAAATTATACAACAATATAAAACTAGAACTAACACTAGCATTAGAACTAACACTAAACCTAGAACTAGACCATCTTAAGAGATATAGGGATAAACCCGAATGTTTCTAGTTCTAGGTCTAGTGTTAGTTCTACTTTTAGTTCAATAAAAATATACAATAATCTAGAACTGAATAACAACTAAAACTAGAACTAACACTAGTATTAGAACTAACACTAAACCTAGAACTAGACCGTCTAAAGAGATGTAGGGCTAAACTCGAATGTTTTTAGTTCTAGGTCTAGTGTTAGTTCGACTTTTAGTTCAATAAAAATATACAACAATCTAGCCCTGCATAACAACCACTTTACGACACTAAATATATTTCCCATACTGAAAAACAATAATTACAGGAGAATAAATTTCAATATACCTTTCGTACTTGTTTTTTTTTAGTTTACTACAATGTCGCGTCCAATGTTTCACTGTTTTTAGTGCCTTCCGCGGATTCCACATATCCTGTTGATTTCAAAAATGTGTGTTTGCCTTGTTTCTACATCTAAACCCTGCTATTATCATCTGATATTTTTTATCTTCATGCACCTATGCGACCAAGTTGCCAAAAATTAGTTGCTCCTAAGCGTCATAATTGTTTTTATATGTACATCAAAACCCCTTTTCTGGTAGAAATCCATTTTTTTAAATTTTTATTTGCTTAATTCTGCCTCTATCCTTTTATCAGTGTTTTAAAATACACCGGCAGTACGTTAATGATCTGTCAGATCTTTTATTTTTTTTTATTACCTTATTGCTACTCTTATTGCTGCATAATGTGCAATTTTGCTTCTTTTTATAGTCTCCTATTGATAACTTGACGTTTCGGATTCAGAACAAAATGATGCAATGTTGTATGTGGTATTGAAATAATCAGTCGTGGGAACAGCAGACATGTGACATTCTGACAGGAAATCTTCCATAAATTTCTTATATTTATCAAATAAATCTGAATTTTTGATTAATCTCTTTTCTAGAGTGAGTGGATTCACCCAATTCAAAATTTGCTGCCTTGAATGGCAACGTGACCATAAATCGATCAGTTTTGCACTGAATGATTTTCTTCCGGTGACTCAGCGAAGATCTCTTTAACCTGATCAACATCCCAAAACCGCTGTAAACAGGTGTCCAGAGACGGTTGAATCAACAAAGACGCATTGGCCGTTGACGGTGGAAAATCGGGTGATTGCCCATTACCACCCCAACCCAAAAATAGTTTCCAAAGCGGCTGGGTCATCTATATCACCCATTTGATGATTTCCAGTTAAAATATATGGCACCAATTCGGATCCCAACAACAAATCAATAGATTCAGGTAACAAATGAGACTCTTTGTTATGCTAAGATTACGAAGATATTTTGACAATTCAATAGGTAGTCTTGGTTGCTCGGAGCAAATTTTGAATTACATGGTTTAATGGCACAAACGACACTGCCTCTCTTACATGTTGAAGATATTTGGTGTAGTCCCTCAATGGCAATTGAACGCTTAGTTTTAGCGATTTTAAGGCGAGTTTGAAGTTCTTCGGTTATAAAATTTATCACACTTTCGGAATCAATTAATGCTCTGACTGTATGAAACTTTATAATCTTCAATTTCCACCTCAGTGATGGGGCAGATAACAGTTAGCAAGGAACTCATTACAGATTCAGCCGTTGTTTCAGGGTCACATGGAGGACTCGGTTTGGAGACAAATTATTGGAATTCAGATGTAATAGCGTATGATGTCTTTGATGGCATATTCGACAAGTGTGAATGGAATTGCACTTATTGGTGGTATGACGAGAGCTTAAACAATTCTAACATAATTTATGACTGTTCGTGCACGCCAACCATTACGATGGTGTTCATTCATGAAATTTTGAACATTGATATAGGTCTTCAAAGGACAATTCGGAGCCGATTTTCTAAAATAGTATTTAAAGAAAACTTTTACGTATTTTACTTTGTGTGAACAGTTTTCAGTAACTTTAAACTAAGTTATAAGTAACTCTGGGTTACTCTAGAATGCTTGGAATAATTCAGACCAACTCGAAAGTAACTCTGAACTGCTTTGGAGAGTTTGAAAAAGCTCTGGTAAAGCCTGAACAATTTCGATTCAGAAACTTAGAAGTGTTTGGAATAACTCTTACTTAGTTTGTCTGGATAGTCTTGATTAACATTAAACTAGATAGGAGAAACTCTTAGGTAGTCTGCAAAATTCTACAGCTAACGTGGAAAGTTTGGAATAACTCTAAGCTGCTCTGAAGAGTCTGGAATAACTGTGCTAGCCAATAAGTTTACAATAACTTTGTGTTACTTTGCTTAGAGGAACTCAGTACCACTCACTCCTTCTTCAATAGCAATTTAGGATTCGGCGAATTTCAGATTGAAATCTGTCTTTAACTCATATATAAATTTATGTAGCAATAAAGCAATTCATTATTACTTAAAAGCTTTTTATTACAAAAATACACAAAATTTACAATCTAATATACACTCATTATGTACAAAAATACTTAGTGTCTTGCAATTTCTTCCACTTATCCTTAATATTTAAGCAAAAAATTCGATTTGATGATAAACCTAAATCAGAATCACTTTTTTTTCTTAATCTTAAATTATACTTCTAATAAAATAAAAAATTAAATTATTTCATCTCTCCTTTCATTTTTGTTTGTTTACATTTATTTAATTTATTATTTAGTTAAATCATCAAATTGATTAAATCATTTCATTTTAGTAAACTTTTCATCTTTCCATATCATAATTTAATCGAATCATTTATGATTTGATTCAGTTTTGCTATATCCAGATTCGATTTGCACATGTTCCTCGGAAACTGAAAGATCTTGTCCTGATATATCAACGAAATGTTCGAAGTTTTCCGATCCTTGCGGTTCCAATTCAGCATCCATCGGATCGATAATTGGAATTTTACTGGCAGCTACGTTTTCCGATGCGGCACTCTCCAATTCCAAAGCGTCCCCTTCCACATCCACCCTGTCGATTTCATCTTTTGGGGACGGTATTCGAACTTCAACTAAATTTGATGCTGACGCGTCCGAATCGTTACTATTCGCATCTGCTGCTTCTACAAAAGCCGATGACAGTTCACCGCTCAATTTGCTTACCGATTGTGTTGCAACGTCGTACATGAAAATCTCTTTTTCCTTTGCATTTCCTGAAGGTCTATAAAAATAAAACATAATAATTAAAAAGAGAACAAAAATTGATTGTACAATAATTAATAATTATTAGCTAAGCAAATGTATAGCTAGTTAAAAGCTGTTGGGAGAAATTATTAGTCAAGAGTTGAAGGAATCAAAGCAAAAGTATTCATTTTATATGCTATTAATGAGTAAAAATAATAATATAGTGTTGTTGCCAAAGATGCACAAAGATTGATCTGTATGTGGATTAGTGTTTGTGCAAGTTTATCAAATTTGCCCATACAGCTGAGCTGTGTTATCTTGAAAAAAATAGCATCGTTTAAAAACAATGATGCAACAAGATTTAACTTGATGACATATTCCTAGGATGTTAAAAAAACCTACTTTATTAAAAATTGTGTGGCGAAAATGTTAACTTTTAGAGTTGAGCGTCTTGACAAACTGTTTTATTATGTCAAACTAAGATGTAGTGGAGAAAACATGTCAACACATCTTATCTTAACTGACGAGATACTATGTACATTTGGTACGTATTTGGTATAAGAGAAAAATGCTTAGTATTGCATCCATTTAAAAATCACCAAAGTATATCAAGATATCAGATGAAAAAAGTACAGCCAATAACGACTATTAACCATCACTTCATCATCCTTGATTCACCTCTGATTTCAAAACCCAATCATAGAAAGCGACGAAACGAGTATTTATGCTAAATACTTCGGAATACAATTCTTCCAAACTTCTTAGCGTTGGAGGTAAGCGCTAGATTTTTAACTGATCTATGACATTACAGAATGTGCACAACACTCGTTATCAAACTCGTACTTAAAGTCGTTTTTTCCTTAGAGTAAAAACCTGATCATACACACCATTTCTTACCTGAGATCATTTGCATTTATAAACAAACCAGATCGTATCATTCACATTTGATCTAATACTTATTTTTTGCAACACTTGGATTTCGTCTTCGTTTGTAGTTGAGTTTGAGCTTGGGGGTTATTTTGACGTGCTTTCAAATTGAATTACTTTGTAGTTCAGATCCTTAGCGGTTTGATTAACTTCTGGTTATGATCCCTTGGGGATGAATTAATTTGATTTGAAGTTATGTTGAGTTGGTTACAAGTTATGTGTTATCGTCTGTACACAGCCAAACGCGAAAAATAATGGATCAACTAGTATTTACTGTTGTACTAATACATAGTTGAAATAAGCATCTTGAAGGAATATGTTAATCGTAATAGCATCCTAATTGTTTGCATTAAAATTCCGACTTGAGGACGGAAATGAGAGTGAATTCAAAATGGGAAAGTAGAATTGTGAAATGAGGTTTATGTTTGTGGTCATATGTTAAAGAAAGTGAAGAGGGTGAGGAAGGATAAGGAATGTGGGATTTGGTGGATTGTTGAAAGGTTGTGGGAAGTGAAAATAGTTGAGGATAGTGAGGAGCTTTATTAGGAAGGGAAAGACAAGGGTGATGAGGAATTCCACAAGAGGGAGAACTTTGGCAAAGAGGAAAGTTGTGGAGAGGCTGAGTGTGAGAGTACTAAAAGAACGGATGGATGAATAAAACCGGCGTAAGTAAGTGACTACCTCAGCAAGGTATATTTCAGAAATATTTTCTAAGCAAGGCATCAAGGAAAAGTACACAGCAAGACAGAGTGTGATAAAAAATAGACTGAGGATCTGAGTACGGTTTTTAAATCTATCAAGATAGTGTGGGGGAGATTTACAATATAGTAGGCGATATAGATGGGCGCTACTTATCCCTATGCATGTTCTTCAAAAAGCCATCCAAAAGCTCTGCAAATGTTTAGGGCAACTGTAGGTCCTTGATGAACCTTAGTATTGCTCCAAGGTCTTGTTTCCTTATGTCGGTAGGTGTCAGACGTACTTTACCGAAAATTTTGTGTCTTAGACGACCTCTGGCGTCGAATTCACACAGTATGTATTCAGCAGTCTGTGACTCGTCGTTACCAATGTGGAAGAGATGGTATTTTAGGGACGCATGGCCGGTCAGGAAGCCTGAGAGCGCCCTTAGATTCCCTTTGCTGAGGCATAAAACCTCTTTGGTTTGGTTTTGCGACGTCATACTCTTCACTTGTCTTTGACCTGGAACCTTTCCAGCGTAAGGCTACCTTTGAGACCTCCCAACTATTGATTACCTGTGTTAAGTACCTTTTTTGTAGTCCACAAATGGGTTGGGCGTTTACGCTGCTTCTTTGGCCAGGTTGTCCACCTTTTCATTGCCCTCAATATCTCTGTGGCCTAGAACCCACCATAGAGTATATAGGGTAGGATATAACCTTAGGGATTGATAAACTTAGGGATTGCAGAATTGTTGTTAGAGTTTGTGGAGAAAAAGACTAAGAAAGTTGAACGGCAGATTGGGGTTAAAAGAGTAAACCAAATCAACAATGTAACAGATCGAATATCCAAAGGTTTGTATTACTGAGCGTTAACAACGGACGTGCGTAAGGTTCCAGGTTATGATAGATAAGTTCGATAAGGAGAACGTCTTGGTTGCAGGCTTATGCCGAAGATCCTACCATCCTATTGGCTGATGTAAGCTTTGTGAGTATTGGGTAAAAAAGCGTAAAGCTCAATATGCTGGAATGTACAAGGAGGTTAAAACCAATATTGAAAAATCTGGGATAATGACAAATCCTGTATTACTCATCATGGAATAAGTGAAGTGTGTGAAGAGAACGATTGTGAATGTATTAAGAAAGTTGATAGTGATCGCTAGGAAGAAATGAGATGTGAGCGGGGAAATAAGAATGTTTTGATGCCTGCGCTGTTGTAAGGAGTAGAAGTTTGAGGAGTTAGGCTTCTCTTCTTGTGGGTAAAGCTACGCTTAGGAAGTGGAAGAGATTAAAAGACGGGAAAGAAAGTGCTGTGCTCGTTAAGATAAACGGGCACATTGCAATAATGTTTTCGTGAAATTGGACGGGATCATAGAATTGTTGATGATGAAGGTTGTGTGATATATGCGGATAAGACATAAGAAGAGTTTTGACTAAAATTGTGTAGGTGGAGAGGTACAAACTTAGAAAGTATAGATGGGGGAATTATTGTCTTTAAATGGATGTTAAATAACAAAGAAAGAAGCCAGGAAGTTAATGAAATTATTAAGCGATTCCAGGAAGCAAGGGTTGAGAGACAGAGTGTGAGATGAAAGTTTGATGAGAGCAGAAGATGTAGTTAGGAATGTATCTCAATCAATACAAGCAAGGTGAGTAGAGAAGTGGAAGAAGGAATTTTAAACAGAGAAATAAGTGTATGTAGATATAGCACGGGATGATGGATTGGTGGAATAACCCAGATGATACGAGATATTTAATTTTTTACTGAATATAGATCATTCAATCTGAACTTGAAGAAATTAAGATTAGCAGATAGAGATAGATGATATGACAGCAAAGTCACATAAATGAGTCACATAACTACTGCATGATACGGCAGGTATGTTTAGAACAACCTGTTTCAAATTTGGGGTCATATTCGTGAGATGTCAAGGATTTGCCTGCTTTACACATATAAGTGAAGTCATGGTGCACAATACTCCAATATACTTTTTACACACATTTTTAGTTCAAAATTAGTCACTCCAAAGAGTTTTTGGAACTTAACTATAAATGTTCTTTAAAGCAGCATCTTCTTGGAACTCAATTATTTCCAGTTTTATTAGTCCATACAACATTGGGCGTCAGTTAAAAACTGTTTTATATTGCTAAATGGTGCTGAATTCAGGAGTATTACATTCAATTTCTGATCATAAAAAGCAAATGTCTGTGTCAGATAACTCGACGATATTTTTGTACTTGTGCCAAATTAGGAAGAAGTCAAAAATACTTATGACAAAAAGGTAGACCGCAAATAAGAACACAAGCTGATTTGTTTGCTAATTTGGTACCTAAAATTAATTAATTAATTATGGTTTCTACGATGATATCTCTATTAGGAATAAAACTATTTAAATGAGTAAAAGTTGATTTTGATAACAAACAGCCATTTTTGATATCATCTAGAAAATAGCTTTAAATATAAAAACTACAATAATACCATTAAATTTTACGAAAAACTGAAATTACAATAAAATCTAATTACCAATTATAAAATTAAAAATTAAAACTTACTCAGTTACTAGCAAAATAACAGCTTGATGATTTGCCGACGTTTTATTCTCACTTTCCAAAAATCGGATATAATTTTCTTTAGAAGGATCGTCCAATAATCTCTTCAAAGGCGATTCTTTCGGAAACTGTAACCCTTCCAACTCAGCAGCTCTTTTAACCTTTCGTTTTTCAAATTCATAATCGACCGGAGCCAAAACGACTACACTACTAATTTTCTTCCCTTTCAATTCCGGGATATCAGGAATTGGAAATTGCGCCCCATTAACCTTCAACGGAAGATATCGGTTGTAAGATTCATTCAACGTAACCGGTTCGGTCGTTTTTGCATCATCTTTAATATACTTTTTCGGCACTTCCTTTCCCTCCGAACTCTCCGGATCGTATCGAACAACTTTCATTTCAACGGCCGGTACTTTAACCTCTTCATTGCTCGAAGCTGCAACTTCTTGATCTGATTCTTGATCATCGATTTTTTTAGTAGAAATTGATTTCGGAGGTGCTACGATTGATGGAACTGGAGCACTTCCCGACGCTAATTGAGCGGCTCCCCCAGCACCATAAAAGTTTGCAAGTTGATCAGGTGGGAGTGCGGAAAGTGGGATATCACCAACTTTATCATAATCCAAAACAGAGATATCCGCGTTATTTAAAATTCCTGACGACAACAATTGTTGACGTAAATCATCGGGAACCTCATCAGGAAGTTGTAAATTAAGAACTTTTGGGTCTTTAGTTGTTGTTGTGGATTCGGTCGTTGTTGGAGATTTAGGTGAAGCTGTCGTTGATTGATATCTAATTCTTTGAGTCGTCGTACTTGGTGGATCTAACAATGTAGGTCCTCGAGGATGATTAGCAAGTAATTCTTGGAATTGTTGTTCAGCAAATGATTGTTGACTTTGTTGAGAATCAAAGTTCAACGAATCAAATTGCGGTCGTTGACGCTGAGCTAATTGAGGTAGTTGTTGGTGTTGATGTTGAAATTGTCTTAAAAACTGTTCGTTTTGTTTTGTATCAACATCCACAGGTTTACCTTTATTATCGTTTTGATACGTTGATTGTTGAAATTGTCTTAAAAACTGTTCGTTTTGTTTTGTATCAACATCCGTAGGTTTACCTTTGTTATCGTTTTGATACGTTGATTGTTGAAATTGTTGTTGGAGTCTTTGTCTGTGTTGTTCGCGGTTTAAAAAGTTTTGTTGAGTTTGAGACTGGGTCGAAGCAGATTGTAACGGAAGACTTTGAGGGGGTTGATTTTGTTGAATATTTTGATTCTCGGTAAATTGAATTTTTTGATGTTGACCATTTGGGTTAACTTGATAATGTTGTTCGTATTTTGGCAAAGAATGGATTAATTCACCACCTGGTGGAATTATATGTTGATTCTGATTTGCATCTTTGTTAAATTCATTTTGTTGATGATGTTGATTTTGATCTCTAAATTGATTATTTGGTTCTTCCCTAAATTGTTGTTGATTTTGATTTTGTTGATGATTTTGAATTTGTTGATTTTGAATCTGTTGATGTTGTAATTGTTGTTGCTGGAATTGTTGCAACTCTTGTTGTTTTCTAAATTCTTGTTGTTTCCTAAACTCATCTTCTTGCTGCTTACTTTGTTGTTGTTTCAAATCATCTTGATTCGGACCAAATTGTTGCCCAAATTGGGGTCCAAATTCTAATTTTTGATTCTTAACTTGCTCTTGATTGAATTGCTCACGATTATTATTTCCATCGGGATTAAAATTAATCTGATTTTGAGGAACGGGTAATTGTTGAGCAAAACCATTTTCAAACTGGCTAATATGAGGTGGAAAATTTTGATTAAAATTAACGGGGGGTTGATTTGGTGGTCTTATTGGAAAATGAGGATGTGGTTTAGGAAATGTCGGAGTTTGTACTCTAACTTGATCGAACGGTTGATAAGGTACTGGTTGTCTAAAATTTGTGGGAGGAATTATTACTTGGGATTGTTGTTTGAAATAATTATAATTTTGAAAAACTGGTCTGTTATGATTCGGGAGTTGTTGAGTAAACGGTGGAGTTCTTGGAATTTGATGAGGTTGAGAATGAGGTAATTGCTGATTTTGAGGAATTTGAGATGATTGGGAATGGGAAATTTGAGATGATTGAGAAATTTGAGATTGTTGATTTTGTGTTGGATTAAAATTAGATTGTGGGCGAAAACTTATATGAGGAGGACTTTGTGGAGGAAGAACTGGATGTAATGGAGGTGGTTGTGGATGATTTTGTTGATTAATTGGTCGATTTTGCAAATTAATTTGATTATGTGTTGGATTGGGTCCTCCTTGTACATGTCTGATTGAAGAAATTGGTGGCCCGTTTGCTGATCCACTTAATCCATGGAACGAATTTTGTTGCGAAGAAAATTGCGGAATTCTTCTCCCAAATTGCGGCGGTTGTTCGAAAGGTGTGTAAGGTTGTGGGATTCTTTGCCTTTCAGTTCTAAACGATCTCTGTTCCTGTGGAAGTGAAACAATAGGCTGAGGTGCTGACTCCTCATTTTCATCATCGTGTTCTTTTTTTTCTTCAATTCCTCCAAATGTGATATGAATTCCTTTGTGAGCATGAAATGTTTCCGATTCAGGTTTAATTATCGCTCTTAAAGTTGTGCTTGGTGGAGGAGCTGATGTAACAAAGTCAGGTAAATGTTCCGGTTTATGAACCACTTCTTCTTCATCTTTAACAACGTGAGGTGAAAGTGCCGGAATTGGTTTTTCATATATAATACTATCCTTTCCTTTACCTCCAGGATTTTTTTTGTATTTTACATAAAAGACTTGAACTTGTTCTTTCTTTTTAGGTGTTGGTGGTGGTTGAATGGGTGGTGGAAGAGTCACATTCGATTCTTTGATAATAATTTCAATAATAGGCTCAGGTTCTTTTATATATACAGGACGCTCAATGACGTGTTTACCATAAATATTTTCAGCTAAATGATTATTATCGGTTTGTAAGTCATTCCCATCACTATGGTTTATTAAGTTTGGATCATACAAAGGATCTCTTTGGGAATATTGCATTAATGGTTCCATTGGGACCGCGTAGGGTGGAGCGGGTACTGATTGAGGTCTTCTATACAATGTTCTTTGTGGAAAAAATCTATTCGGACCGACAGCTATCCTTCTTTCCAACCTATAGTTCTGTGGGTGATGCGTCAGATACTCTAAATTCCTTTTCCCTTTCCTCTTTTTATTATCTTCCGCAGCCGAAGCGGTTGCTAGTAAGCAACAGACGATTGCCTGCAAAACAAAAAAAGAACAACTTTTTAATAGAGAGAGTCGTCTCAGAATGTATCAAAGAGAGAGACGTCATACCCTAAGAGGACTGTGCTTAATGGTACAAGTTTCTAGGATGTAAAAGAATTAGGCTACACGACTGGAACAGACGTTTCACATTTTTCTAGATTTAAAATTAGAGATTTCTTTCTGTTTCTGATTAAAACTGGGGAAATAACAAATTGTCGCGAATATTATTTGTCATTCGTATTGACGAATGTTCTTTGGACGTGAACGTGCTTATTTTTAACAAAATTAAGGTCAGGCCGTATGCAAGTCTTTTGCGGGAGAGGTTTTCGTATAGAAAGTCCGGGTACGTGATGTCATTTCAGCTGGTTATTATAATTGTTTCTGTTTTAAGTTGTGTGGAAAGTCTTCGTCGTCGCTTTTACTTGATCGTTTAATTATATTATATTGCCGGTTACTTCATGTAAATGTTATAATTTCAATACTAAATTATACGATATTAGAGACTAAAAGGTTTCTTGCATTTTTCTTTAGTATAATTGAAACTTGATTTAATAAAAACTTTTCAAACAATTTTTTTTAATTCCTAAATATTTGTTGATTCATGAGTTAGGCTGCGATCGGCTACGCAAGGGCTGCCAACAGACATCCCTATGGGTAGAACCAATTTGACAACCAAGCAAGTCGAAAGTATAAGATGGACTTATTACAAGACGATTCCGTATGATTCCTCCACAAACTTACACTTAGCGGAAAGATTGCTCAATATCAAAATAAAAGATCATGAAGCTACCTATGAGGCTCTTGGGAAGGTGGATAAAGCAGCCAACAGAATGGAATTCGAATGGATAAATGAAGACCTAAAACCAATTATTAAAGACAAATGCAAAAGCATACACCACAAAAGCAGTAAAAAGAGAGGTGAGTAACACGAAAGACAATATGTGGCTTAGCAGACGTGTGTATGTGGATAGATCGATGGGAGGGGGTAGAACGAGAGAAGCTTGGAAGACTATCTCAAGCACTAGGAAAAATTTAAAAGAAAAAACTAATCTATCTCTCATAAACAGTGACGATTGGATAAAACATTTCCAGAATGTACTTAAAGAACACATAAATGTATATAAGATAAACATGAACGTAACAGAAGACGACGGTGGTGAAGCAACAGCCCAAAACACAATGCGAAACAATAAAGCTTCAGTCTTTTTACCTAAAAGGGAGATTAAACATACCAGACGGGTGGAAACATGAATACATAACTCTGGATTCATAAAAAGGATTGACAGGACTACCAGTTCGGCTGTATATTAAATACAAGGATGGAAGATTAATGGAATGATATAGAAGAATAAAGTGATTTTAGGAGTACCAGCCATCATGCATACACGGGTAACCTATTTTGTTTGAGACAATTAATAGAATATTAATCAATTAATAATTGAGCCGAAAATAAAAGATACCCTTCTGAAAAGCAAAGTTTTTTATTTACATAATTAATAGAATAACACTATGTCAAATCAAATCAAACTATGTCAGAAAATTTCCCACCTACTAAAGGCTTGTTACAAGGATACTGTCTGTCGCCTACTCTATTCAAGATATATATATCATGCGGAATCAAACAGTGGACAAGGAAATGCTCGAATATGGGTGTACGGATAAACGACTACTTTTTATACACTATACTGTTCACAGATCACCAAGTCGTTGCGGCTGCAGAAAGAGAAGATGCAGTATACATGACAAGAAAACTTAAAGAAGAATACGAATCTTGTAGTCTTGAAACGGAATACTTAGCGGTGGGAACAAACATGGAAAATTTGGGCGACTGCCAAATGAGAGTGTACGAAGAGCTTGTGGAGGTCTAAAGGAATAAGGAAATGCATAGAACGCAGAATATACCAATCTATAATAAAAGTTATTGCATTGTATTGCTCTGAAACTTAGGGAATCTTAAAAAAATATAACGCCATCACATTACAAATAGTGCCATTATAGAAATAATAAACGCATACGGAGACAGCAATAACAGATTAGGAAAAAAGGTTGACATAGAATGGCACTTGAATAGAATAGACGAGAATAGATGACAGATCAGGCGGTGGATTCCTCCAGAAAGCATAGAAGAGGAAGGTCGTGAAAAAGATGATGACGACTAGACAATTGATCATGGTGGTTACACAGGAAAGAAGAAAATAGAGTGTGGTTGCGAGAAAAGACGCATACAATGATGATGATGAATTTTTCAAACCAAGATTTTAACTGAAAAATTAACTGAAAATTAGAGAGTGTTTTGTTTTTAATTGGTGGAAGTTTTATAACCATATTCAAAGAAATCGATTTTTCACGAATTACGAGTATTAAAATGGGGATGCAGAAAATTGAAAAAAAATTAAGAAATTTCGAAGAGTTTACAAATGTATATCTTAAAAACTAAAAGTACTTAATTTTTCAAAACGAACTTGAAAATTAGATAGTTTAGTGGATAATTGGTGGTAGTTTTATAAACATCTATCAATTAATTGATTTTTCATGTATTATTGAAATGAATCCAGTAAAAATGAATTGTCAGAAATTTCGATGGATTTAAAAAGTTGGTATCTCAGCAAATAAATGTGATTTTTCAAAATTCCGAGAAATCAGATTATCACGAATTATTAAAATGAATCCAGAAAAACAGAAAATTGTAAGAAATTTCGAAGAGTTCGAAGGAAAATATTCAGTTCTGAAAAACTAAAGGTAGTTTTTTCAAACGAACTTTTTCATTGCATATTAAATACGTTAATTGATAATTGATGGTAATTTTATAATCTTTTACCAAGTAATCGATTCTTCATAAATTATGAAAACAGATCTAGTTAAATTGAACCAAATTGAACGTTGTCAAAAATGTCAATGAATTTTAAATTTTTTATTGCAATAACTAAAAGCGATTTTTCAAAACGGAATTAGTCACTGGAAAGTAAACAGTTTTATTGATAATTGGTGGAAATTTCATAATCGTATTTTAAGCAATCGATTTTTCATCATTTATTAAAATGTACCTATCAATGTTATATCAATGAATTTAAAAATACATAACTTAACTAATAAAAATGATATCTCAAAACGCACTTTTTCATTGAACCCAAAGTACCCACTACTTTAGTTGATAATTAAGAATAATATTATATAAAAATTCATGTAATTCAAAATCTGCAATAATTATTAAAATGAAAAATAGAAAATTTTAAGAAATTTCGAATTGTACCTACTTTGTCATTGGAAATTAGATACTTTAATTGATGGTAATTTTAAAAACATTTCTCAAGTTATCATTTTTATATATACAGGTGTTTCATAATATATGCACAGGACTTCAGGATGTGATAGCTTATCCAAAAATTTGAAAAAAAATGTCTATCAACTTACCCTAAAATGCACCATTTTCGAGATACAAGGTGTTGAAATTTAATAAAAAAAATCGTTTTTTGTCTCCGGTACCGTTTATCGTACAGAAAAAGGCGTTTGAAAGCATTTAAGCTAAGTTTTTTGCGAGAAAAATTTTTTTAAAGGTTAATTTTTTGAAATAAAAATGTTATTTTACTAAAACGTTAGAATAAGTGTTATAACTGTTGATATCCATGTTGCAAATTTCGTTTAAATATTAAAATAATAAACAAATAAATATAACTTCTTATCTTGCAAAATTCAATTTATTTTAACGGAACCGGTTTCGACTAGTTTTACTTAGTCATCTTCAGCCGAATTATATTTTAATTACTTTTAATAATTAAAAACTAAAATTCTTATAGAACTTAGGGTTAATAAAATAAAATTAACATCACAAAGAACAGACATATAAAATACATTTTAAAAATATGAAATTACACTTTAAAATACAATATATAAATAAATAAACTGTAAAAAGACAAAAACTACACAAGTTTCTTCACAAACGATATATAAAATAACACTAAAATGGATGACCTTTAAAACTTGTATGAAAGACACATGCCAAGATAGAAACAGGTAAACGAAATGATAAAGCGGCGATTTTGAAAAATAAAATCAAATATTTCTTAGACATTGAAAAAGCGGTGTAAACTTCATATCCAGTTGATCATTTAACATGATGTAGTTTTTATTTTTACTGTTTTTTGAAATTTCTTATGCTTTTAAGTCACAAAAGCAAACGTTAACGTCATAATTGCATAATTAAAAAAAACAATTACAAATCATACACATTGACTGTCTAACACGCAAGAAAATTCCCGGAGTGTTCCGAATTATGTCGCAAGATACAACAATGCGCTCTCTTAATTGGTCAACATTTTCAACCGGAGTAGGGTAGACTAGGGTTTTGAGATGGCCCCAAAAGAAAAAATCTAAACAATTAAGTACCTTACTCGACCGATCCAACGGTCTGGGTATTCGTCGTCCAAGTATTGGCGAGCAACCAAACTAAAGTGGGCCGGAGCTCCATCGTGCATAAAGTACATGTTTTGTCTTATTTGAAGCGGTACATCTTCCAGCAGTGCCGGCATTATTTCTTCTAGAAATTGTCGATAATCTGCATCGTTTACTTTGTTCGGTAAAAAATGTGGGCCTATCAAATAATCACCGACGATGGCAGCCCAAACATTTACGGAAAATTGTTGCTGATGATGGCCTTCTGCAATTTCATGTGGATTTTCTTCTGCCCATATGTGGTTATTGTGAAGATTGAAAATACCATCCTTCGGATGCTTCATCTATAAACAGAACTTCGGCTCCAAACTCAGGCTTTTGAGCTAGTTTGTCTTGCATCCATGTACAAAAAGCCAATCTTGGCGAAAAATCTCTTGGAAATCTCCTGACAAAAGTTGCCTTTTCAAAATTCTCCAAACCGTCGAGTGAGATAGGTTTAAGTTGTGAGCAATTTTTCTGGTACTTGTGGTTGGATTTTCATCAATTTCGTTGAGGACAGCCTTAGAGTATTCCTTTTAAAACTTCCATTTTCTCATAGTCATTGGTGAATGCGTAGAAACAAATTATGGTGTGGTACTGGGGATGTCTTTCATGATACAACCGCCTTGCTTCTGCCGAATTACCGCACGTCATTCCGTAAAGGTAATGTATTTCGCACATTTCAGAGTTTGTGTAATTCATTTTTAATTTTGTAATACAAGTTTACTTTTTGCAGGTACAAACTAATGGTTATTTTAACAGGAGGTAGCTTTTGTTATAAAATTTAAAGCCTACTTGTTAAAAATAAATTATACAATTGTTTACATAAACGCTGAAATGTGCGAAATGCGTTACCTTTACGGTTTGGAGAATTTTGAAAAGACAACTTTTGTATCATTTTTTAATTTTTTTTTATTTTGCAATTATGAAGTTAACGCTTGCTTTTGTTACTTGTTGTAACGTTTACATAAATTTTGTTTAATTGTAAAATAAAATTGTTATTTAAAAAATTGACCATGTTTTTCAACATAAAAGTTGATTTTTCTAGAAAACGGTCAACTTTAGAGCTTATGACCTACAGTACCTTTTTTGTGTAGAAAATATTGACGGTTCAAATGGGGGTCTCAAAACCGTACTTTTGCAGTGGCGTAGAAGTTGGGGAGAAAAACAACCACTACCCCTTCAAAATCTTCACCAATTATGACTTTAAAAAAATTTTTTCTCGCACAAAACTTAGCTATTATGTGTAGAAAATGCTTACAAACGCTGTTTTCTGAAAGATAAACGATTCCGGAGATATTCGCAAAAAATTTCATTAAATTTCAACACCCTGTATCTCGAAAATGGTGCATTTTAAAGGGTAAGCTGATAGACATTTTTTTTTTAAATTTTTGTACAACCTATCACATCATGACATACATTATGAAATAGTATGTATATTATTAAAATGCATCCAGTAAAATGAAGGATGATGTCAGAACTTTTAAGAGATTTTTCAAAACGAATCTTTTTACTGTATAATCGAACATATATAATGTAAGTTTTCCATTTTTCATGAATTATTAAAGTGGAATCAATAAGTCTAAACGTTGTCAGAAATATTACCTAACTTATTTTATGACAAATTATTTCTATTTATGAGTTGAATTCGAAATTCTTTCGGTTTTACATGGTTTAGACAAGAAAAGAGTGAAAAAGGCAAAACGCAAAATTAAAAGTCAAATCAATTTTCTTTTAAAAACTCTATGACATTACAAATAATAATTAAAAGTCCCATAAATAAAAATTTCATTTTATGAAAGTATGAAATTGAATTTTGAGTAGCACGCAAGAAATCCATCATTTTCTCCGATGTGTATTGTGTCCTATATATTTATACTAATTTGGGTGTGTTTGAATAATAACTGATAAATTTTTATAAAGGCTAACAAATTGTTTTTCTCTAAAACTATTGCAATGGCGGATTTGATAGTATTTGACAAATAGTATTCTTTAACATTAACGAACAGGCGCGTTCTGAAGAAGCCTAGCGCGATGTGCATTAACGTGCAAGTCCAGACTTGTATGTATGACTATGTATATATAAATAATAATGTCATGAAAGAAATTCTTAACTAAAAATGAAAATAATCAACAATAAAGAATATACAAGTCATTAAGTATGGAACCGGCTTAATATTTCCAAAAGTACTTGTCGATCAACATGAAATTTGACTAAACAAAATCTTTTGTGAAAATAATTTTCAACTGTTTAGCTGTCAAACTTTTCAAAATGCAGTGCCAACTAGATTTTTTTTAATTAGTACCATTAATAGGAATTTTCCACACGGTTTTTTTACATAACTTTCAATTTGGCGCCTCGGACATGATATTGTCGATGTATCAGCATTTACTACGAATTCGGAACATTAAAAAACCGTGTGGCACATTCTCACCATAGGAGGCACGATTTCACCCTATTTCACGGTACCTTATTGACATCATTCGAAAGCCTATTTTACTCTGCATTCGAGACTGTAATTATTTTTATCAAAACATTTTTGAAAATTATTAATTTTTTAATTTCCCTGTGAACAATATAGAAATGGAATTCAACGTTATCTTCCCAATTATTGTTTGAACAATTTTTAATTCGTTTTAATTAAAATATTTTTCAAATAGAATTCGAAATAATCCATTTAATAAAATAATACCACACTAAAGAATTATTTGAAAGGTTACTTAAAGCTCCGCTCACTTCACTGCTCTTTGACTGACACTAATCCGTTATTCAAGACTGCGGAAACGTTATGAGAGCAACAATGGTTAAAAAGTTGTATCATATGTCGTGGAATACATGGCATATAGCGGTGCATATCGTATGCAACTTTCTGTGAATCTTTGTAACCAAAATTTTATCTTAAAATACAACTTTTAATGCAATCATTTTATAAAAATGCATTTAAAAATATTTTGAAAGTTTCGTGTTTTTGTATGAGTTCTTTGATACTTTGAAACTATATAATTACCCTATATATAATTAAAGTTCACCTACAAGTACACTTTTAAGACTTTAATTTGTGATATAGTTTGAGTCATTATTTTCATTAATATTTTTGTGTAAACAACTTATTCTTCAAAATTAAATCGTTAACAACAATATACTTAACGCTTATCTTTTAAATAGACATTTTAAATTTTAATTTGAATTATAAATAAATTTATAGTTCCCAAAATTCAAAAAAAAATTCCCGATTATTCTAAAGTGTTGTGCTTTTGTATGGAATAATTACTTTAGTTATTTTTTCTTTGAAACTAAATTAGTAACCTATATATAATTAAAGTGTACTTAAAAATATATCTTTAAAATTTTAAAATGTGATATAGTTTGTGTCATTATTTTCATTAATATAATTAGAGCGATTCAAACGTTCTTTAAAAATGCTTTTCATCAAAATTAAATCATTAAGCATTATCTAACGCAAAGGTCTTATTAAAATAGAGGTTTTAAGCTTTAATTCAGATAGATAGTTTGCGTTATTCCACAAATTCGTGTCAATTTATTTTGTTGACTCATCCAAAATTCCACTGACATCGTTTAGATTTTTAACTGGGTTGTGCAAAAAATTAACACAATTCTCTTAATATTCAACTTTCTATAATACTCTTATTTATTCAAACATTAGCTATCCAATAGAAATCAATTTAAATTTTATATAAAATCATTCTACTTCATAACCAAATCAAATCTTTATTATTAATTCAATTTATATTATTAACTCAATAAATTAATAAAGAAATTCTATTTTTTCCGGTTGGATATAAATGAATCTTCAATGAAAGTTTCTCACTAATAAGAGTTTCACTTATTTTTATGAGAGTGCAAAGTTCACACCTTCTTTCCGCCTCATCCATTAAATACCTTCAATTAACACACTATCCATTTAATTAACAGAAAAAAATCTCATGAAATCTAAACGTTTTAACCGCAATAAACTTACAGTTTTGAGCAGCATCTTCAGGTGCATTTTCCTCCACCAAAACCCCAAAATTTCAATAAACTCCAATCAAAATAAAAACGTAATAAATAATTATAATTCAAAAAAATTGTTCACACTATACTCATCACCACAAAAACTACTCAAACCTCGAGCACGTCATGACGTCACGATTAGGTTGCTCTTCGGTGGACAAATCATTAAGAACTGACTCAAATCCTCCAAGAAATGATGAGAGGAAGACCTGCATCAGCTTCCTCTTCTTTACTTTTGTGTACAGAGGGGATACAAGAAGTCACAACGAAAGAGAAAGAGAGAACGAAGCCGGTCGACTTCACGCGGTGTGGGAAGAAAAGTATCGGTAGAAAGTTTTCTTCTTCGGGGCTTCGTTGAGAGGATCAGAAACGTTCACCGAAATACTTACGGAAATTATTTTGAGATGAGGAGTTTATTGTTTGAATTGTGATGAAGACGACTTCGCTTCTGGAAGATGTTGAAATCTTCGATTTAAACGATTCGATTTCAAAATAATTTAGGGAGAGGGAAGTTATTACGATGTGGTTTTAATTTCAAAATTTAATTGTTGGTCGTGGTTTAAAGATGATTGTTTTTAGGAAAAGAAAAAGGTCTCATGAGTATCAAACAAAAAAACAATCAATCTAATTTTATGGGTTAATTATAAATTAGTTGCAATAACACAATGAAATTTCAAAAATTAATGGATGTAATTTCTGGATGATTGATGAAATATTTGATTTGAAGAAGAAATTAAATTAAACAAAAAGCTTTTTCAATTTTAAATTAACTAGGAGAATTCAATTAATTTAATTTAGAGTAATTTATGTGAAGAAATCTTTGAAATTGAAAATGAACAAGTTTTTTGATTGGGTTAAATTAAGAAGTTGAATTCATCGCCGTTACACAATGCACCATTTGAAAGGTTATGATTCGAAATGTTTAAGCTCGATGGTGTTTCGGATACGGGAATTTTACGAGTCTTTGTTAAGGAATTCCCAGCTTCTTCTTTTCCTTTTTCGTCTGCTTAGGTAGACACAATACAATCATACCATCTTCCTAATTTAGTAAACGCATAACTGACATCTTGGCAAATACAATTTTCCCATCTATGGACTTATAGAGAAATCTACCGTACGTTATATAACGTATGAAGACCGAAGGCGTTTTATCTTTGACAAATCCGCAATCCAAAATTGTACTTTCACTTTTAGTTTCTTTAGAACGGCGAGTTTATCGCCTCTTAAAACATTTAAAAGGTGATTAGACCTTTAAGTTTTTTTTTTGTTTGTTAAGCTTATACAGGAAATCTATATTTATATTGTTAATGAAAAAAAAATATTTTGGTGTTTTATGTGCTGTAGAAATAGTGTACAAACTGTAGAAACTGAAACTACCATAAATACGAGTTAAGAAAAATCGTAAAACGTAGTGTTGAGGTGATTTTACAATAAAATCTAGGTCAGTGGTCCAACTTATCTAGTAGTAGCTCGGTGTTGTATACGATGTGGTACACAAGACCCGGGTATCGATATATCACTATAGAATACTGATTGGATAACGATACCCACGGTTCGCTCGCGCCGGACCAGGACTGGTTTTCAAACCGTTTTCTTACCTGGTCTCCTCGCGAGAAGAATGTGTTTGTAAAGAAGTTTCTATTGAAGAAGAGAAAATTGCTGAGGATAAGATGTACAATTGCCTGGAGATATTTTATTTTAATCAAGATGCTTAGAATCAAAATATATGTAGAGAAATGTTATTACAAAATTATTTTTTTTAAACCAGACATTCTCTTGGCTTCAAACTATGTTTTTATCCATTATTACTTAACAAGTTATATGAAAGTTTTACAGTTTAATCTGTATCTAATGTGGTATAGAAGTTATAAATAGCATTAATAATGTGATCTTTACTAAATGGATTGACATTAATATCAGAATGAAATTTAAAATTAATTTCATAAATGAATATAAATGATACAAAGTATGATGTTGATATAATTGAAATTAAGAGGTTCAATAAGAATTGGTTATTAATCGAAATCCATTTTATTTTAACAAAATAAATAATAGCAGTAAGATAACTTTAACGGACAAATGTAGAAAAAAAATAAAGAAATTTTTGGAATAACTGCTATTTCTATCAAATCCTGACTCGACGTTGCAACGTCTTGAGATGAGATTGGAGGATGTTGTTACTGAACGAACATTAATACCTTGCTCGGTGTAATGTCATTCAGATCCTTTGAGGAGATAAACTGGGACTCAAAAATCGAGAATCTGATACGGTTAACGGCAGGTCAGTGCATAAAACATGCTCAACCGTCTCTGCTTCCTCCGCACATAGTCGGCATTCAACATCGTCAAGTTGAGGTGTGCTTTTAATCGGTAGTGCCCAGTAAAGACACCCTTTAGAACTTTTATGCTGCTACGGGCAAGTCCTAAAATATTCCCAGGTTTGACAGTGGCGATGTTAATAAACACCTTAGCATATCTCATTCCAAGAGAACTGGTCCACAGTAGGCGAAGTCTCTCTTCAGCCTACAGTCCAATCCTATATTTGGCCATCGCAAATGATACACAACTGCTGGTTCCGGCCCCACAAACGCTTTAGCGCTGCCCTCTCGTGCTAACTCATCTGCCGCTTCATTGCCAGCAACCCCAGAGTGAGCCGGGACCCAGATCACAGAAACTCTGTTATCACAACTCAATGGGTTTAGTGTTCTCTTATAATCATTAACCAGAGCCGACACCGTTTTCACGGCTTGCAGCGCCTGGAGAGCGGCTTGACTGTCTAAGAAAATTCGTACTGTCATGTTCTTCACCCCTCTCTCCAGAAGGATTTTAGCACCCATGTCAAAAGCAAATACTTCCGCCTGGAATACAGTACAGCACGTACCCAGGCTGTAAGCTTGCTTAATTCGAGGTATCTGGCAGTATACTCCTGCTCCGACCCCTTCCGGCGTTTTTGATCCATCTGTGAACAAGCAAATATCTGCCTGAACCAGAGAATTTTCATTTTCGATCCAGGACTGTCGCTCATGCAGTATAATTTGGTATCTAGCAGCTTATAATATCTATCCTGCTTATAATGTCTTCCACAGCCCATTGGTAGCACATTTCGGAACAGTTTTGAGCATATTGTTTAAATCTGTAAATGGTTGTTCTAGCCACTTTCTTTATATGCAAATGAAGAGGAGATAAGCCAAGCAGAATCATTGCTAGAGTTGGCGTTGTGCTTATCGCACCAGAGATTGCCAATCAAGCTACTCGTTGAATTCGTGAAAGTTTACTGATAACTGAAGTCTGTCGGAGTTTCCTATACCAGGCTGCTGCTGCGTATGTGATCATAGGTCTAACCACAGTCACATAGAGCCAGTACAGTCTTTCAGGGGTAAGACCCCAACTTTTTCCACAAAGACTGCGACAAGGCCACAAGGATCAAAAGCTTAATAAGTTGCCGTTGAATGTCAGAAGTCTTCCGTTTCTTACCATGAAACGTAAACTGACACATTTCATGGCTTCGAATGCGTTTTATTCCGTCGATGAATTTTTAAAATGTAATATTGATATTTCTTAGTAAGTAAATGTGAACCTGTAAATTGAACTGACGAGTGTAAGAGAACTATCTTATAGCACAATAAAGATTATGAGGATAGTCTAGCTTTGTGCAAAACTTTGTTTTGTCTAGGATTCAGCTATCAGATATACTGCTACTACTTAATTACGAATTCTAGAATTGAAAAGGTGTCATATAGTGATGAAGTGGAAATTCCGAGTTACACCCTTCACGTGCAATTATCAAATATATCCCTCATTTAGCAACATTTTGAAGAAAGTATTAAACGGACATTGAAAAGCCATCGGAAACAGTCAAAATTAAAACCCATTAGTTAACAAATTTCAAATTTGTATAAATTTTTGTTGTATCATCGTGTTCAACTTATAACAAAAGATTTACTTAAAACCTTAGCCTATGAGTAGCTATATTTTGATGTAATAAGATGTACTTTTTTGTTCTTCGAAATGATCCTCGAATTATTTTCCAAATGTGAACACTATTATGGAGTTACAATGGAATTTTTTTCACTGATAATATTTTTAGTACCCTCAACATTATCACTTTGACCATGAATGCGAACACTGGGGGGTCACCAAGCTGCAGGTAGTTTGACGAACACAAATAGCTCACTAAAAAACACAAAATAAATGAATTATAATATAATATACTAATAAAATATTTTGGATACGAAGATGTCTTCAACGTTTTTTGAAGTATCTTCATAGCTATAAGTTACTTGATTCACCTGTTTACCAACGAAAACTTCATTATTGTTGATTATTAGAAAGAACGTTGCTCAGTTCACTTTCCAATATCTCCTGTGCGTCAGATCGTCACTTATGATCGTAGGATCATAGCGCACAACTTTCTTAGCAAGTACAATGGGATGGTCTCTAGTGTTGGCAAATATCTTCTTTATGATTCTCGAGGTAAAAAGTGCTTTGAGAAGCACTCGGTTTTGAAGTATAGACATTTGGTCATCTGCCGTGGTTGCTTACAAAGTACATGATTATTGTTAGTCTGATAATAAATTCAAATTACTCTACCTTTGTAAAAGACTATAAACAATTGTCGCGTATGAATGTTGTCGAATTGTATTTGGTTTTATGCGGCAATCTTCCGATTTCGATTTCTTTCCACGGTCGTCTGAAGATGTAGACGTCGTCCACCTACATCACCAAGTTGGATACGGTTATTACATAGATTCTAAGATGCTTCACCTATGAACCTTCTTCAGTTTAAACTAATTGAGTGTGCATGGTACTTGGCTATTCCTCACCACTCTGATTGCAGAGTTGGCCGTACAATCCTGTTTTATTCTAATCGTGAAAAAAAATCCAGTATTTTTTCCTAGATGGATCTGAAATCTGAATGCTTCATGCCATGTTTTCATCTCCAGTTCATCTTCTTGTAAATATCTGTCAATTATGTTTTATTCTCCCGATTGAGCCAAAGTGTTCTCCACGTACACCGCAAAGAGATATTTGATTGTTCTGACAGATTCATAGTGAAGATGTAGACAAAAATGAGGAGGATTGTTGACCCTTGTAGCACTCTCGCTATAACGATCCCAATAGAGAATGTTGGGATTGATTTAAAATGTTCTTTTGTGTAAGGTTGGCCAAATTCACTTGAAAATGCGCAAGAAG